TCAAGACAAAGATTTTTAAAAAGGGCCATAACTCCTTATCCAGAGGCCCAAGAGGGCATTATCACTTACCTGAATATTTAAGCAGTCATAGCAAAATATTCTCAATAAATATTATATTGCACTAAAAATATTTCCCTCGCAATCTTTGTTGGATCCATCTGTTGAAACAACCAGCAAAATAAGATTCTATGCTTTTTGATTCTTCTTCAGAAGTCGCTTGACATATTTTTCTCTGTGACCTTGTAAGTAGGTTAATGTCATTTTCCTTCTCAAATTGGAAAGCTCTATTCCAAAATTCTACCAGACAAATCTTATGAATCCATTCCTTTTAGTTCTTGAGAACAAATCCTTGAAAATGTTGTTGACCTCTGTGACCTCTAAAGTAGGTTGAGGTCATTTTCATTCGCAAACTTTGGTGAGCTCTATCCCAGGAAGTCACCAGCCAAATATTATATTTTTAATAATTTTAATTCTTCAGAAGAAGTAGTTTGAACCGTTTGACATATTTGAACGCTGTGACCTTGAAAGTAGGTCAAGGTAATTTTCATTTGCAAACTTTGTTTGGCTCTTTCCCAGGAAATAACCAGCCAACTATTAAGGTTCTATACCGTCCAGTTCTTCAGAAGAAGTTGTTCTAAGCGTTATACATATCTGACTTTTTCATTCTCAAACTATGTTGGGCTCCATCCCAGGAATCTATCAGCCAAATATGAAGATTCTATACCTTTTAGTTCTTCAGAAGTCGTTTGAAGTTTTTGACATATTTGACCCCTGTGACCTTGAAAGTAGGTCAAGGTCATTTTCGTTCTCAAACGTTATCGGGCTCCTACCAACAAAGCTTTCAAATAAATATCATGACTCTAGGCCTGTCCGTTCTTCAGAAGAAGCTGTTGAAAGGAAAAGTTGACGGACGAGGACGAACGAACGGACGCCGCAGCATGACATAAGCTCACTTGCCCTTCGGGTAGGTAATCTTAAAATAGTTGAAATGAAAAAATACCACACTGATGCATGACATCAGGGGGTAATTACCATATCTGCAAATTTTCATTGAAATCGGCCCAGTAGTTTAGGAGGCAGACAGAAGTTGTTTTCAACAAAGGGCCATAACTCCTCTTAAAGGGTCGGAATGAAAAGGTACTTCTTGGATGCATAATGGCTGGGGCCATTACCATATCTATAAACTTCCATTGAAATTGGCGCCATAGTTTTGGAGGAGTTGTCTGGACAAGTATTTTTCAACAAAGGGTCATTTCTCCGTAAAAAAAGGGGGATCAGATTGAAAAAAAACAATACCTGTATGCACAACACCAGGTAGTAGTTATCATATCTGAAAACTTTCGTTGAAATTGACCCTTCGGTTTTGAAGGGCATGTCCGGACAAGGACAAAGGACCATAACTTTGTAAATTAAGGGTCAGAATGAAAAAGGAAAATACCTGCATGCAAAATTTCAGATTGTAGTTATCATATCTGGGATTTTTTGTTGAAATTGGTCCATTACTTTAGAAGGAGTTGTCCGGACAAACTTTTCTACAGACAGACAGACGGACGGACAAGATGATTCCAGTATTCCACCCCAACTTCGTTGCAGGGTGTATAATTAATTGTATAATAGTTTTACTATTAAGATTATGTTGGTGTGGGTTTTTTTATATTATTACATATCTTTGTCTATAAGACAATCTCAACCTTAAGTAGTTCTCCAGAGGAACGATTACTTAGGCAGAATACATATTCATGAGTTATTACTGTTGCACATAGATTTCAAACAAACGTTATATAATAAAGTGTTAACCATATTTACCATAAAAAAACATTGACAATCAAATCTCCATGATTATGTGAAATTGGCCTTTGATCATGTTTGGCATGCTAAAAAGGTACTTTACCGGTTTTGATATTTCATAAAAATGATTCTGTAGACAGAATATATATATGGAAAGTTTTTAAAGTAGTTTAAAATATAAACTACCATTGTAACTGTGCATAGGCAAGTTGACAATGTTGTTTATATTTTGAATTATGTGAAAATTGTGCATGTTTTTCTAATTAAAAGTATCACTACGCTTTCTTTATGTATACCACCAATATGACATGTTTAGTATCAAAATAACAGTAATTTTATGCACTGTACACTATCATAATTCATTTTCAAAATAGCATTCTCCTGTGACATTTATCTGTCATTTTGTTAGGATACGCCCGTCACTCAACCTGGTGTTATGCAAGGAGGTCCACTACGGTTATCAGTTGTAATTATGAATAATCATATAGGCAGTTATTGATCATTTTATGTTTCTACATATGGCAAAAGAATAAAAGAAATCAAAGAGGGGGCCAAATGTTGACCCCACCTTTAACTGATTTCATCTTTACTTTTTCTCATAAAGTCCCGCAAAGGATGGGTTTCTATTTAAAAATGATTTATCAAAGCTATAATCATGCCATGCGGATAGGCGGTTTCCAACACGTAGTTGCTGATTTGGCAGTGGTACGGGGATCGTTAAGTGGAACAATGTACCAGAACATTTAAACCACCGAATTGCGCAACCTCCGATGTGGTCTATGGTATTGAGTGTTCTTTGCAGTTACATAGATGTTGTTGAAACAAGGTGACAATTTTGTATACGACACCGAATGAACGGCAGTGAATCATGCAGAAAAATCAATGTTTATACAAATCTTCCCTGACAATTATATTTGGTCTATGAGTGTTTATACGTTAAGAAAATGAAGATGTACATATGTAGTATCAAAGCAATAACCCGACACTTAATAACCCATACAGTAGCCAATAAGGGGAACTTTACATAACACTTCTTCGCGTTGTGGAGACGTATGGATGTTATGACAATGATAATTCTGTTTAAGGAGACGTTAGTGTATTAATAGACAACGGCATTACAATAATCAAACTAAATATGTTTGAAAACATTATGGAAACTCCAGAGAAACCATTGGGTATCCACTATATTCCAACCATAATTTCCATTTTTTATAATAAGCGTTACAAGAGGATTTTACAAAAACCTGTCCTGATAACATTTTGAAACTAGGTTAGAGACTCAAAACTTTAGTCCTGTTCGTACAGGTAGTCACGACTCTCCAGTAACTCGGAATTTTATGGAAGTCAAATTTGCCAACAAGGGGATATAAGCAATTAACATGGCTTTCAGAAGACGCTTGAACACATCTTTTTGCTCCAACCACCAATTAAAACCACTTGGTTTTGTTATAACTCGAGGCTGTATTTATTGCCGCGCTTGTGGGGTTTTGTTTTTATAATATAAGAAATATATTTAACCACGTCGATCGGAAAATTCTTCAGACTCCTTTACATCAACCGCTTTCCTCGACCTTGCTTACATTATAGCCAATCGGAACTGTTTATTCATAACATGTACGATAGTGTTACAATTTTCAATATTTTCTTCAACTTTTCCTTTCTTAACAATTACAACCCGGCTTCAAAAACAGATGAAAAAATTATAATAGCAGCGGCAACGTTTGATAACAGATTATGTTCATTGGTCAGCTGTTTTTAAATTCGTTGTCCTAGTTTTGCGACATCGAGTGCGAGTTACGGTTTAGTTGAAACATTGGTATTCTCTTGTTGTTTTTGAAAGCATTATAAAGCGTTTTACATGTTAAATGTGAAGATTATTGTTTACGCAGATAACAGTAGATATATTAACAATCATTAAAGGGATAATTTAGTGAAATGATGTTTTTTTTTATAATCTTGTCACAAAATTCCTCATGATAATATAGTTTGGTACTCCCTATGAACGATTCATGTCGAGGATCTTGAAAGGGGCCATGATTTCTATTTTTTTTAAATTAGTAATGAATAAATCCTTTACTGTACAACCACACGTTTTAGGGACAGCTGTCGGTGAACTTTTAGCTAACAAAAATGTCTTTCCTGCCGGGGAGAACAGGTACATTTTCGCTTTAATTGACCTTACTTATTAGTAATGAAAGTATAGGCATTTATTCTAAATCAAAAGCGTAAGTGCTTGCATACTATAATCAAACTTGTCCCTTTTTATTCAAATCCAACTGTGAACAGAATAATTTCCTATCTTATGATATTCACTTATTACGATACTTATAACATACATGTATTGTGTCAATTCAAAGCGACAAGAGTGTGTTATGTGTGAAATCAGACTCACTGACACTGTGTTGTGGGTTGACATGTTTACTTCTCACTAAAAGGCCCAGATATTGCGTTATTTCAGTCGTAGCTATTTGTATCACCGGCTTTCCCAACAGATTCAACTGACCATACTGGAGGTTGGCTTCAGGTTATGTCGTTTTCAACAAAGAATGCTCAAGAATCATAGCATACATGACATTGAAGTGTAAAAACTGGATTTAATTTGAAATGTATAGTCATTTGAAAAAAACATGTACGTTGAGCATTAACAATGCTTTTGCAAGGTCCACACATGAGTTTCACAGAGTTATGTACATTTAGTATACACATGCAAAGTCTACAATGAATCAAGATGGTTCAGCCTTATGCTGTTCAAATGGGTAAATGTTTAGTAAGATATCTGTTTTTGTACTGTTACAGTAGAATTAACAATATCTAGACGCCGTCAACATGTACACGTGATTATTTGTTTGTGTACCTTTATTGTCTAGTAGCGTTATCAATACATGGCGTTATTGTTGGAAATATTGTGTCCATTGAGAATACATATCATTTACTTTTCCCAAGAGAGACTGTTGACTACACATGAACAAAAAACAAATAGCATCATTTTTAAATATTCCGTAACTGTATTTTCGGTAGAAAATTTAGTCACACCACTTTGATCCTACTGATGTAACCAATGATATGTTAACATAGCAATTTTGCAAATGATGAGGACACCAAAACACATGTGACCATGAATAACGACTGTTATTACATATAGTTTTATTTTAATGAGCGAATTATATCGAAATTGCAGTGTTGTACTTTATCATGTATATGCCCGCCAGTGTCGGTATTAGCGTAGGAAAATTGCCCGAGTAATTTACAAACAGTATTTATACCACCTATCCGTTCATTTATTCTTCATCCCGCAACATGTTTGGCCATATTGTATTGCTCTTCTGTGTTCTGACAGTGGCTTCTGGTAAGTACTAAAGTTTTATATGATTGGTTAAACATTGAAAAGGATTGTATACACATCATTTTGAAATATTGGATCATAACAAAAATAAGAGATCATAACAAAAAGTGTTGCTTATAGTTTTAAGTAAACATTACACGGGCACTTCAATCGTTTTAAGAGTTTCGGATTTTTTATGATTTAGACGTACGCAATGTTTGCACATTATCTACTTCTAAGGAGGATGAACATCAAACCGTTAATATTAACTGATAATTATATTTACCCTAAATTTCGTCAATAATCTGCTTTATCTTTCTTTATGTGCATATAAGTGCAACAACCACACAGAAAATAAGGGGTTTTATTATTTCCTGGGAGTAGATTTTTTTTTATAACTTCCTGTGAGTTGAGGGTTATTATCACCACCAAACAAGTATGGGTAATTATAGTTGTGGTTAAAACTCTCAGCTTCTTTGGTGATTGAAATAGACAAGATGTCCTATGTTGTGGTAACAACTTGTATTTCCTGGATGGTGGGATTAACTCATTACACCTTTGCTGGTAACATTAAACACTACTGTATGAGTGGTGGAAACAAACCCTTCATTTCTGGATTGTGGAATTGACCCTCTGGTCCCTGGGTGTATTAACCTATCATACTTTGAATATGGTAAATATGTCCTATTCCTTAGGTGATGGTAATAATCTCATTCTCTCCCGTTAGTGGTCAGTGTCATTACATCAGGAAGGTGGTTATAACCCCAACGTCTTTGGGTGATGATAAAATCCAGAGTAAAATAATCCAGAGGTTATAGAAAATGAGTAAAATTAATTTCAAAGAAAATCAGGTGAATCCATTGTAAAGCTTAGGGCCAATTGCAAATAGATTACCGAGAGGGACAGATAATTTCACAGGCAAGTCTAGGGTAAAAGGAAACATGGGTCCAATGTGAACGGTACTGAATTAACGGAGCTTCGGGACAATTTGTTTCATTTGTTAATGGAATTGTCGATAATATATCGCCGTCTAATACTTTCTTTAAAATTGAGTGAACAGATGAAAGCAATTATCCTACTGAAACAATTCAACCTGTTCCCGCCATTTTCATTATTTTCAGCCCAGAGTCCTATCAGAGTACGCCATTATATAACTGTCAATGCAAACAACAACATCCACTATGGTGACAGATCCCACGTTCAATACCGGGGTAACGGTTTGCAACCAATTTGCAAGCAGCTGGACCGTGACCTAATGATCGATAAACTGCTATATGACAGAATTACTATTGAACACAGCGGATCATATCATACGGCGGGTGGAGTGGTGTCAGGTAAGTCATGGCGGGTCATATCCATGCTATCCGGAGAGGTTGCAGATAGGTATCAGCGGGTCATACCCCATTCTAACTGCAGAGGTGCCAGGTAGGTCATAACGGGTCATAGTCCATTCAAGCGGGAGAGGTGTAAGGAAGGTTAAAGCGCGACGACCCATTCTGTCGTAACAGGTGCCAGGTAGGTCAGAGCGTATCAACGATGTATCATGACAGGTGTCAGATAGATCACAGTAGTTCATAACCCACGCTATCGGGAGATATATCCGGTAGGTCTAACCTGGTCAAACCCCAATCTGTCGGTAGAGGTGTCAGATTGGTCATAGGGGATCAGAACCCAATCTGTCGGTAGAGGTGTCAGGAAGGTTATGACAAGTCATGTACCATTTTATTTCAGGAAAGTCATGAATGGTCATTCACCAATTGCTCTCGACAGCTGCCAGGTAGGTCATGAAGGGTCACACGCAATTCTATCAGGAGAGGTGCCAGGTAGGTCATAGCGGTTCATACATCATTATATCGGTACAGGTGCCCGGTAGATTATAGCTGTATTACCACCTTTTTTTCTAGAAAGGTGTCAGGAAGGTTATGACGGGCCATACACCATTACATTAAGAGAGGTGTCAGGAAGGTCATGACGGGCCACACACCATTACATTAAGAGAGGTGTCAGGAAGGTCATGACGGGCTATACACGATTTCATTTAGAGAGGTGTCAGTAAGGTCATGACGGGCTATTCACGATTTCATTTAGAGAGGTGTCAGGAAGGTTATGACGGGCTATACACCATTACATTTAGGTGGTGTCAGGAAGGCTATGACGGGAACATAAACTTTCTTGACAGGTGTTAGGTAAGTAATGGCGAGCATACCACATTATTTTATTCAATGGCACAATGTTTATTAATTTCCTACAAAACTATTTTAATTAGAAGAAACGTTCATTACCTTTATATGGTATATCATGATTAAATGTGCGATTAGACCAATATTATCACGTAAGAAACTGAAACCATAGCGTGTTGATATATAATCATAATGCTACTCTACTAGATCTCTTATTCAGGAGATAGCAAATTGCTAATTTGGTAACAAAAAAAATATCCGTAGAATTAAAATTTGCGTAGCATGCTATTTCTGTAAAATATCATTTCAGTTAAACAATAATTAACATTACTTAAGCGAAACACCACTTCAGTAGCAGTAGTAAACTGTAACAGTAGAATGTTTATACAGTTTAGCAAAACTCAGTGCAACAACACTATTCGAATACAGCAAACCTATTTCAACGAAACAACACAAATTTAATAAACACTATACGTAATAACAACAACACTTGCACACCATTTTTAAAGACCACGTTTAGAATTGCACACTATTTCAGTGAAACCGTGGAACATAGCAGCTTTAACTGTTAGTGGTATCAAAAAAGATCTCCAGTAGCAATAGAAGCTATTTAACTAGCGGTTGAACAATATTTCAGTAGTAGTAGAAACTAATTCAGTAGCAGTAAAACATTGTTTCAGTACCAGTAAAAGCTATTTTAGCAGCAGTAATACACTGTCTCAATAGCAGTAAAAACTATTTTAGCAGCAGCAGTACTCCGTTTCATTTGCAGAAGATTTTTTTGACAAGCTTTAGAACACTCTTTCAGTAGCAGTAAGACACTGTTTCAGTAGTAGAAGGAAACATTTCAGTAGCAGTAGTACACGGTTTCATAAGCAGTAGAATCTTTTTAGTAGTTGTAGGACACTGTTTCATTAGCAGTAGAACCTAATGCAGCACCGCCTGCTTTTCAGTACAACAACAGCATTTCAGTTTAACGCGAATTCAACAAAACAATACTCAGCGCAACAACACCATTTCAATACAGCACAGTGCCATTACACCGAAACTATTTCAGTACAACACTATTTCAGAAAAGTAACTTTCATGCCAAACACTGTCATCCGATATCGTTTGATATATTAATTAACTATTTGTGATTTGACTCACATGTCAATTTTATTTTAAAATGTTCATAATAGCATCAAAATTCATTTGATATCATGTTCCAATAAGTTGTGTCGAATAGATGTGTTTGTGAGCTATTAAACATGCAGTCCCGTTATTAAATATATCCCAACAATAATCATAATACTGTGACATACTGCAGCAAATTTTGAGTCGCAGGTGCCTTTTTTAAAATGTACTTTTAAATATCAAAGCCACATTGCCATATTCTGTTCCTTGGTGACAAATTAGGTGTTTTATTCCAGGTGTTGGAGTAGAGTTTCAGCAGGTTCATGAGAGTGACCAATCATTCCGCACACTTCTGATACTTGTTTTTAGAAATGAACAGGTAGGGATATTTCCTTAAACACAAAGTAACATTTATAAACGTTAAATTTATGCAAAGATAATAATTTCATCATTTAAAATCTGAATCGATTAGGGTGCGCGAAAGAATCTGCGTTTCTGCATTTAATTGCATTATATCAACAAACACAGGTTATTGTTTGGCACTGAACACGGATTTGTACATACAAACAGTGTGTTATTTCGAAGCAACATGACTGCGTTTCGAAATTCCCTTCCGATGAACTATGGGGTTATAACAGACATTTGTTCATTTTGCAATTATTGAATTAACAATACTTTTGGATGCGCATATGACAAAAAAAACCTGCAAAACCTGATCTCTGTTACTCCACTTAAAATATGATATTGCTTATGAAACAAAAATGATGAATGTTTCGGACCTACCTAAGCATGAACTATGTTTTATTCTGTGAGCACTTGTCAGTATATTTTTTATCAAAATTCGTGTATATTTCAGGATTTTTTTTGTTTTGTTTTCATTTTTTTTAATATTTTTAATATTTTGTTTATTATGACATATAACGATAATAAGGAGCAAATCCCAATTCTTTGACAAAGCAAAAGGAATGGTCATCATACGAGCGAAAACCATTTGTTATAGAAACTAATAGACTCTTTTTGGCGGGAAACTAATTCCACAGTAATTTGTAAATTGAAACTGGCATCTCATCCGCAGATATTATAAGTACAAAAGGTTGTATATATGAGTCAGGTTTGACAATGTATTCAGTAATCTTATACTTGTTTTATGTTAGTCTTGCATGAAGATAAAAACAGGTTTACTCTCTTTTCAGGAATACACAAATTTTCTCACTCTCTGATCACCCATCCGTCATGCTCCCGTCGTGATTTTCTAGAAATGTTTCTGATACATTGTACGTGAGTTTACATAAAGCCTTATATTGCCTTAAGATTGTTTTGTTTTATATTAAAGGAGTCTTTAGTTGTCGGTGGGCATTGTAATCTCATATATCGGTAGTTCTGGCGACTTAGATTCGACTTTGTAGCTAACGTCACGCTACCTCAATTGGAACAGTTTTCACAGTTTTCAGTGATATTTAAAAATACATGACTTGTATCTAGAATGTGTCTTTATTCTTGACAAAGACTACCCTTGGTGGTTCATTGATTTTCAGAAAAAGTTAGACAAGTACACGAACTGGTACACCATAGCACAGGCTATGAAAGTTGTTTTAATTTCTACTACTTGATGTGGCAATTGCAACAAAATATGTTGCTTTTATAATAAAATACTGAACTACAATTGCATATAAACACTTTTGTCCGGTTATAAGGACATCAATCAACATTTAACCATGCCTATAATTAACCATTTCAAAAACTTCTAAACTTTCGTCGACGTTCGTCGTATTTCTAGTCTTTAATTTGAAGACATCGTCTACTCTTTAAATGTCACAGACAACAAAACAGTTAGGTAGACATTCTATCTGTATGGTTATATCATCAGAAGAAAATACACAAATTAAATTATAAAGGACTATTCGAACCATTTTTTTTAACTGTGTACCAATTGGGGTAGCATACCAATTGTGATAGCGCTACATAAACTCCTGTAATCATTTACATGTACCCTAAACCAACTACCAAAGTCTGGCGTATTGCAGTCATGTTATATTGGGGTTTCAGAAGTTTTAATTTCTGCAAATCTCTCGTAACGTTGTTTTTGAGCTAGGAAAGATTCCTCATGGGGACAAACATACACAGGAAGCACTGCAACGAGAGAGAAGGATAGTTATACAAACCTCTGACAGCCGGATAAAATATACTCAGTATCTGACAGGTTTGTCATGTAAGAAAGTGATATGTCATTAATATATTGCAAGTGCCAATGCAAGGTATTTACATTTTGTTTTGACCTCAGTATAAGAAATTTACCCATCGACGCTTGGGGGTATATCAAACTCCCAATTTACGTTGTGGTGATCCCCCAGACAAATAAACTCTCAAATAGGATTTCTGGGTCTATAAACACATCGGTAGGATTTAAGTAGGGGCGTTTAAGTGGGAGGGAATATAATTGTCTTTTGATTACCTAGTATATAACATAATAGCTAAGTGAAGATCACATGCAGTGACATTACAGCGAATTTTGTACCGCTATTAGTGTGTAATTATTGTAGTATCTGTATAAACGTCCACTGCTATAATGTGTGTGTTTGACAGACCATATGTAGGGGTCAAGCTAGTAGTTAAGTAATTATATCATGCTTACTTTCTGATACTGACACTTAAATGAGTGTGTCATATGTCTGGAATTTAGGCAAAATAGCACTCGGGATTGTAACGTAATATCAACATTTTGGATGGTCTGAAACACAGATGCTTAAAAATTATATATATACAAACACATTCAAGCATCAACATTCAAACTTAAAAAATACAAATTTGGAGATAATATTGCGATTTCTTTAAACACTGTTCTAGACAGGTGGCCAAAGTAAAAACAAGACCAGAAATTTCGTTAACTGTGATTGAATTAAATGGAGTTTCCGAAAGGATAAGTCATTAGCCGTCTTCAATTGGCGATACAAGCTTTACACACGATACTTACTTTATGTGACACTAAGGACATAGATTAATGATAATTCATTAGTGAAGTCACATTGGAATGCATATTTAACATGTCACACATTAACTACCGAATATGAACAATTCCTAAACTATATCAAAATATAAATACGCGAGCATTAAAAACTTCGCATACTCTAAATATGAAACTCATGTCAATATACATATTTGCGAAAATATAATATTGCTTAAGCGATTATGATTGTGTAATGGAGAACAGTGGAACACATGGAAGTCATATTTGTAAAACTGTTATACCCATCTTTAAACAGACCTGATATTTTACATGCTAATTAAGTCGGGTATCCTCATTTAGAAACAAAATGTAGAAGCAATTTAGAATGTTCAACGTCGGGAAACAAAACAGTTTGAAGGACTCTCTAAGCGTTCTTACACGGAGCGTTTTGGCAAAAAGTAGCATTGATAACATTCTCATATAAAACGATCACGAGTTGACAAGGTTGAGGAGTACCAGAGGCTACCGGAAAAGACAAAGAAGTCAAAGAATGGTCCTATCTCACTGCACTGTTGTTTTCCTATACACAGTAACCTCCCTTAAACTTCCGTTTGGTAGAGCTAAAAAAAAAGGTTGGACAAGGTATCGCAATCGGTTAACGATAGTATAACAATCGAAAGTCCATAGTTCAAATCTCAATCCAACACGACTAAATCTTTACAATTATTTATTGTTGATTAAATTCTGTTTATTGCATCTTCATTATTTCTCATAAAAGTCCTGCAAAGGATTATTTAAAAAAAAAAAAAAAAAAATCAAAGCTACAATCATGCCGTAAAACAATTTCCAACACCTAGTTGCAGTTTTTGACAGCGGTACGGGCATCGTTAAATGTAACAATGTACCACTGAATTGTGCAACCTCAAATGTAGTCCATGTTATTTAGTGTATTTTCTGTGGTTTTATATAGGTTGATGAAATAAGAGGACAATTACATAATTATACGTCACCGAATGAATGGTCATCTTTCGGTAGTGAACCATGGAGAAAATCAATGTTGATATAAACATTTCAACTTATATACCATATATAACCCTGTTGTAGACAAAAGAATGAGCATAAAATAAGATGTCTAGGCATTCTTGAGCCGTATTGATGTAAAAAAATAACACGGATATTTGACATGTGTCTTGAGCCTCCTTTAAGGGGGGGGGACGTTTTTGAGCTCTTATATTGCTTAATGTCGAGATTTACATGTTGGAGTTAATTCAACATTCAAAATCTTGTTCAGACGGACGGACAAATTTACAACACAGTGTTTCCAGAGATGCAGGCTGATAAAGACTACGGACAAGTTGTTTTGGTGGCCTGAAGATTCAATAAGGAAATATTTTATGACATTTTGTGATATTAACGTCAGTGCTTTAGATTATGTTAATTAGTGTGCCTTGTTGTTTTGTTGTCACTAACCCGGTTCTCGCTTGGAGGGCGCGACATCCCCTTGATTTAATTTAGATGTTGTAGTGGAGCAGTCGGTCGTATTCCTTTTAACAAAGAACTTTTAATCAAGCGCTATGATAAATAAAATTGCAGAATATATCTATTCATCAATTGTAAAATTAATAATCATGGTTTTTTCACCATAAGTTCAGAATTACATTTGTATTCACATTTATCCTTAATTGTGATATATAGATAAGTATTTATATGTTTACGCCGGGGATTTTAATTACTTTATCAATAGCTCACGTCAGGGATGGTTTATGATTCTTAAATACTTTTAAAATGAGCTGTAACCTATTGTAGTTAATTTATAAAATGCAGTGCCTATGAATTTGTCTAGAAAAGTGCTGAAGCGTAAAGTGGAAGTCCCATAAAAAGGGGAATATTTACGACATACAAAACGGTACAATAAAATTAAAATCTCATTACTTTAATAGATAATTTTATTTTTCATTTGATAATAGCGACAACATGTGGAAGATTTACAAATCAGGAGTAATGTCCCTTTGATAGGAAAGAAGTTATGCGCTTCACTGTACATGCAAGCTCCGTTGATAGATATAATTTCCAACACAGCCAGAATGTGGATATTTTGGTCCAGCTTAAGTTAATTTGTATAGAAATAGATATGTGGGCATAATCTATTGTGCTGTCGCCTTGAACTGCTATAGATACGTAGTGGTATATTAAAACGTCATAGCGTCAAGTAGCCAGAGATAGCAGACACATCTGTCAGGTGCCCACACTTACCCAACACGACCAGCATGGCGAAGGTTGTCCTGTACCTGGCTCTCTTTTCTCTAGTAGCAGGTAAAGTTATTATTGGTCCCTATATGCAGCAACGGCCACAGGGGTTCGGTTTCGGGATACTTTCGGATAATAATAAACCTATACACACCAGTAAATAACAGTGTAATGTTTAGGTTGTTTATTAACCAAAAGTATCCCGAAACCATTTTTATACCTCGGTACCCTCAATTTGTAATGGTTTTAGAATGTGTATAAACACCGGATAAAAAGTGTTGCTGTTATTTACTGGTGTGTATAGGTTTATTATTAACCGAAAGTATCCCAAAACCGAGCCCCTGTGACAACGGCAATATGTATCGAATGAAGTAAAAGAATCATGTATTTCTTATAGAATTGCCATCAATAGCTTGAGATCGTATTTCTCCCCAAACTGATCGATTTTCAGGAAATGATACCTTTTAAAGATATACACATCAGAGAAGTTGAAAAATGCCAGAAGGAAAGTTTTCTAATATGTATTTTTGGAAAAAGGAGTCAATATCGAAAAAACGTGTATGTCCGTGTTTTCGTTTTGGTGCTATGATTGGTCAAATATCCCATTTAAACATATCATGTGATGTTTAATAATGATTTTATGTTTTGACCGTATTCAAAATAAAGTCAAAATCTATGAATGTTTGCGCTATTGATTAATACAGTATATTCCTCTAAATTATGAAAGGAAAAGTTCTTCAACTTGTTTTTTCACCTCAGAAGAGCAATTTAGGTTACCCTTTCCCTTTATTTTTAAATGGAAAAAATACTCTCTTTTTTAATTTCTGTTAGGTTAATCCCTGATATAAAAAGTTATGATATTGAACTCTAGTAAATATCCAATGGATCAAAGGAAATGTGTTTCTCCTCATGAATCAGCCGAAAAAAATCCTTATGATTTTGCCATATTACCTTCGTGCCGTTTTTCACCTTTTGTGGTCAAAAATCAAAATAGTTTCAGTTAAACTAAATAAGAAGTAAAATACCAATATTGGTTATTTTCCGCTTTTTTTGTTTATCATTTTCATAAAATTAAATTGCGATACAATGCCACTTTAAGAGAAAAATCAAACGCCAAAAAAGCATTGCAAAAGGTTCAAAAATACACATTTTTGGGGATATTCAAATGGCTGCCAAATTGATCAATTCTTTAAAAATAATCCAGTTTTTGTGCAAACTTGGAGCTGCATAAATACATCTATATCATTTGATAGTGTTTTGATACATATCCAGAAGCTTAGATACACGCCACTCCTAGTCGTCAGGTTATCGTTGAAGGACGACATTTGGATACTACCAGTGCTCTCTAGGCTGTGTCACAAACAATAGGCAGCACATATGCTTTCAAAATTGGTTGTAATTTGTTAAATTTTACAAAAACCCGTTACACCACATAACAAACGGGATTTAAACCTCAGAAGAGTACATCGGTAAACCAGGTATGAGCTGATATCAACATTATATTCAATGAATTTATAACAGCAATGAGCAGGTCCATTATGATATCACCTTATAGTTCTTTCTTATCAATACACACTGTATACTATTGTCACCAACACGTATTGACATGATGTTTATTCATATGTGGTACACTATCTTAAATTGATATCAATATTTCTTATTGATTTGATATTATTTCTTCGCTTTCTTTAACGTTTGCAGTATTCTTATTTAAAATTAATTATGATATTTCATTGATCAGAATATACAGTTGTACTGTAGAATTATCTATTCGGTGGTAATAACATTTAAGGTTTTTTTGTGCTTATTCCAAAGATGAAAATCATTATAACCGATAAATAATTAATCGTTGTAGTTCGGCTTTTTTATAGATATGTGTTACGTGAGCATTGTCGTCATACGTGTGCACGTGTACGTTAATACGTGTACGCTGATTAGAGTACTGCTTCGCCATGATTTAGTGTATAAACCACGAAAGTAGTTGCCAATCAGTGTTTCACATTTATTATTTAAAACTAAAATTGCATTTATGTCAAATCTTAATCGATGTTTTACACTATTACATTTGAAATGATGAAGAATATTTTATAAAACCTTTAGCCACGTTTTATAGTGATATCCTATGGAGCCCCCGAGCGGCGGGGCGTGTGTCTGTCTATGTGTGGGCCCTACGGAGTGAAGTGCCCCAGTGGTTACGACTGTAAAGGAAATGGGTGTGGCCACCAGTGTTACAGATCCCCAGACTACGTCCAACCCGAGGGTTCGTTATATCCATTTGTACACTCAATATGTTATGTTCAGATAAATAGTTATTGTGTTTACAATATACCCTGAAGTATTCCTACATTAATATATGATTAATAAAATTTCAATAAAAAAAAGCTTTACAGAGTCATTAGGAGGTCAAATATTCTTTTGAATATCATTAATGGATGTTTATAACGTATACATGCATTTATTTATTGCTAACGGTTAAAAGATAAAATATATTTGATAGCATTGAACTTTTCTTAGTTGACATTAAAAGGGGATATGAATACCACCAGGGTTATATTTTCAGGAGGCGATTATGCTAATTTTCCTGTAGCTCTTCTGCACTCATATTTCATATGAGTATCAACTAAAAAAATCTCAACTATGGCCAGTACAATAAATGAATTCGACTTTTTGTCACATAGGTTCTTATATAAGGGTTGTTGATACTAAAGCGATAATAAACACTAGTAGAACATGGATTGCAACTCCTCAATAACCGCAAAATTACCATATGCATAAAATCAAGAAGAAATCATATTTATCTTAATATTTACAAACTTACCATTTTACCCCACTTCGTATAACCATCGAATTTCTCTATGTAACTGGTAAACCGTCACCCAAAGACACATTTACATTTATATAAGTAACTGGTAAACCGTCACCCAAAGACACATTTACATTTATATAAGTAACTGGTCACCCAAAGAAACAATTACATTTATATAAGTAACTGGTAAACCGTCACCCAAAGACACATTTACATTTATATGAGTAACCGGTAAACCGTCACCCAAAGACACATTTACATTTATATAAGTAACTGGTAAACCGTCACCCAAAGAAACATTTACATTTATACCATCAAAATACCATCAAATTTTTCTTAATTACTACTTAGCAATTACCCCCAAGATACTACTACATTTATCTTAAGAATACCCGATAAACATTACTACAAGAAACCATCACTGTTCTATAAATAGCCCGTAAACTATAACATCGAGAAACCCTTCACCTATCTGAATAACTCGTAAACCCTCAACCCCAAGAAAGTATCGTACTTATCTAAGTAATTCGTAAAGAAATCATCACCTTAATCTACGTAACGCATAAATGCGACAATATTACCTATAAAGATAACCCGTAAACCATTACTCCTAAGAAAATCATATTTATCTAAATAAATCGTAAACGATCACCAAATAAACAATCACCTTAATCTAAATAACTCGTAAACCATCGAATGTCAACCAAAATAAATCATTAACAGGTAAATTTGATCAGGTAAAAAATAAAAAAATAAACCTCTCATTCCGAGAGGTGTATGGTAAGAAACTTCAATCGTCGTTATATCTTTTTTTGTTATAAGTTATATATAACTTTTGAGCAAAACCCTCGGCAAGTCTTCGTTTTACCCAAATCGAAAACCCCCTGGGTGGCATATCCATTCCTACAGCTCTTGACATAATTTCCAATCAAGCAAAGAAGCCAACACACACCTTGAAAATATGTCTTTCACAATCACACTCAGAAAACATCGCACTTAAATGAATCGGAAAATTATGATAATTGCAGCCTTGTTTTACGACAGTTTGATTATGCCGTAATGATATGTAATGAAGACTTAATTATCTATATACAGGCTGTGTGCTCCGCTCCTGTCCCGGGCAATGTCTTCTCGGATTTACCAAAGACTCCCAGGGCTGCGACACATGTGAATGTGATTACTCCGCGCTACATAGTTCTAACCAAGGAGCCTAATCAGCCAAGCGTAAGAGAAATAAAACTACTAATAGTGTTCTCTCCATGGTCGCTAATGTTTTCATTAAACTTGTATCTTTTCCACCAATAGGTATTTTTGGGTAAAAATTTGATCAACTATTGAAGAAGACACATGATATTTAACATACATGTACAACAAACAGGAAAACATATGAAATTCAATTGTAATGCCATTTACATATGATTCTACTATTACTTTTAAATTGTCTTCTAATATTTACCGTTTATGTGGTGTATGGATGATACGGTTGTCAGTTAGGGTGATACACTAACAAAATCCAATACTGATTTGGAAATAAAATCGTAATTCGAAACTATAGCAAATTGTGAACTAAAAAGAAAGATTAACATGAAAAGGTACAAAGAGAAAAAAAAACAGGTAACCATCTTCTGATTCATCGACGACACACGCCATGTAAATCTAAGTAATGGCACATCCTCAAAGCGCTAACCAGGGTACTTACAACGATAAAACAATGAAAGCCAATTAGTATATTTCATAACGTCGACCTCCATGTCATACAAAGACAAAGCATATATATCACAATAAGATCATGATGAGGACTATAAAACGTGCCCGTAGTCTTCATCGACCTGGGCCTCTGGAACCCTGTATTGTAAGGTTTCTATCAACAGTCGACCACAATCATCGAAATCACGCGCAAGCTCTTAAACACCGCATGTTAGGGGGGAAGCAGGAATGATACTATCAAAACAGGGGGAATAATTTTATATAAAACAGCTTTATATTTTAATGCGACTAAGATTTGGGATATATCATTTAGATATGATTTTGAGTTAGGAAGATGTCATTTGCCATTTTAATATTATGATTTAGGAAGATTTCATATCTTTTTCAGATTATGGGTTTGGGCAACGTCATATGAATATGATTATAATAAGTTCAAACGTCATTTGAAGTATATGTGTATGCAATCATATGCAAGAAACTACTTTATGCATCGACTCCAACAAATATTACTTCAAAATATTGTTCAATCTCCTCAAAGTACCGATATTAACCTAGATTTATAAGGGAGACAATGTATAAAATGCTTACCCTTCCGGAACGCCTGGGTTTATTCACTTTGTACGTTTCAAAGATCTCCATGCAAATCTTGCCTTTTATCATCTTTCGTTTTGGTGTCATCGCTATTAAGTTCGAACTGCGGTTTTGTTCACACTTCTCCATTCGTTGTTTTTCTCCATTTACCGTTTTACACTACATAAACAACCCATGTATAGAACGAAATCTACAAAACGTACACTCTATCTCAAAATATAAATCTTAATATTGTCATGTTTTCTTTCAGAAGGCTACATTATTCGAATGACAAAGATGGGCTCTATTTACATGTGAGCATTATGTTTACGTGAATAAATGAATAGTCAAATTTAAAGGCTTTTCTAGTTTGTTCTTTTTGTCTTCCCTTCTCTGACTTTCGGTTGTGTCTCCCTAGGGATTCGTCTTCATATGACATTGGCTGTTGCGAGGACTCTAAACCCCAAACAAAGATTTTTAACTTATACTATGGTTGTTAGTTTTATATTTAAGATAGGTGAGATGTGGTGGACTATGTAGAACCCTAGATCTGCCTTAAAAGATTTCCCGTGAAACAGACAGATAATGGAAATCAGCATTGCTTTGAGGAGAATATTATCATATTATAATTTGAGATATAGGTTTATAAGTAACAAACTAAATGTCGATTACTATTCCTGATATTTAACCTTCACGGAAACTATTGAGATAAGCATGCTTAGAAATTAAAGGACATGTCTGTAAATGTACTAAAACTCTTTGTTAAATAGCTACAATCAATATACTAGAATAAGTGAGGAAGTGGACCTATATTTCAGAAAATGTTGTGCTCTTATGCAAAAGTAAATCATCGTAAATAGGGCTAATTTAAAACATTCGAAATAAATATTTGTACATTAAGTTTACCATAGCTAGTTCTCCTCTTAGTTTAATCTACTTATCACGTACGTAGTAAATGTGTCATTATAGCAAGGATAGTCTTTAATATGTTAGTGTTCTTTTATATTCAAATTTATATTAACAAATATCAACAATTTGTTTTCCTATTTTATTTTATTTTATTTTACCTTGAGGGAAATAAGCAGTGTTGGTTCTACTCCATCAGCATCTCCTCGGGTTTAACGTAAAACAGATTTCTTATTAAAAGAAACCACTTTTTAAGTAAATGTGCAAAACTGTATATGAATTTAGTGGGGGGTTTTAACGACTTCTATTTAGATTAATAAAACAATGTCAGAACTAGTCCAAACTTCTTCAGCCGAAGTAGAATCAATCATTACGGCTAATACAAAAAAAGGTAAAGAAAGAAGAGCTCAAACAGACGGTCGTTTTGCAGTTATAAGTATCTTAACTTCATACTTACTCCTGTAGGTACTGAGGAGCTGTTCCATTCTGTGCCTTGTATGTGTACACCAGAATCTTTTACTGAGACCTGTATCGTACAGGTAACCAGTGCAACGAATAAAGCGCAGGTGTGATGTGCTCTCTCTTTCGAGTACGAGTAACTAGCCGTACTGCAGTGTTCTGCACCCTCTGCAGACGACTAGTTAGTTTGTCAGATATACCACAGAGCAGGGCGTTACCATAATCCAACCGAGAGGTAACAAATGAATGCACCAAAATCTTGCATGCACGGTCGTCTTGTAGTTATAAGTATCTTAACTTCATACAAGCTCAAACAAACGGTCGTCTTGTAGTTATAAGTATCTTACTTCATACAAGATCAAATAAACGGTCGTCTTGTAGTTATAAGTATATTAACTTCATACTAGCTCAAACAAACTGTCATCTTAGAGTTATAAGTATCTTAACTTCATACTAGCTCAAACAAACGATCGTCTTGCATTTATAAGTATATTAACTTCATACTATCTCAAACAAACGGTCGTCATGGATTTATAAGTATCTTAACTTCAAACTCTTATATCTCGGGTTGGATTAGCAAAACAAGATACATGTACAATGTACATGGAAAGTTATATGAGAGTATGAGTATACCATATATGTTGCTTCGATAAAAAAATATACATCAATGTATATTTACATTGAATATATATCTTAAATAACAATTAAAAGAGCTCTTTCATATGCTTTATCATATAAAATGAATAACATGCATATCTTTATCATGGAAAAGATTTTCGTCAGATATATCTTTATCATATAAAATACATTACAGATTTATCTTTATCATGTAAAAGATTTAAAAATTAAACTACATCATATAATTCATAGGACATCTTATATTATCAATCATTTTGAAAAGTTGATTGATGAAAAAATAGGGCAGATGCTATCTCATTTAATGAGACCAAGGAGAAAGAATCACGCGAGATATACATATAGCATATATATATACTCTAATAAACTGAAATGGGCATTTTGGTGAAGATATATACTATGTTCTTTGTAAAATAAATCTTTATCTATATCCACATTTGTTAGAATAGCATATACTTTATACAATGTAATATATATTATTTACACAATATATCATACACCTTTATGATATACAAATGTATCTCGTCCATAAATTATCATATTAGGGTGGTCGGGTAGAGCAGAAGAAAGCCACTTCCCTTTCACCAAGGCGGCCGGGGTTCGATCCGCCGATCGGACGTGAAAAAGTATGGAGTCACCTGCCCGACCACGTGGGTTTTTTCCGGGTACTCCAGTTACCTCCCACAATAATACCCCCGCGCGCTAACATCCGGGCCAACAAACGTATTTAATAAAAGTTGAAATAACTTGTTTCATAATTGTTGTAAAATAAATAAAGTTTATATGTATATTTTAGATACCTTATTCAATATAAAATATATCTTTTTGAGATATCGTATTTGTTGATCTGATATATCTACAATTACATGAGATATCTGACTTCAAAGTAATGATAAGATGGTATGCAATATTAACTTTAATTCCCGTTTTACTTGGACAGCTTCACACGACAATAAACTGTAGAGTAAGGGAGCTAACTCCAATTAAATTATCTTATACTTCGTAATTGAACAGTGTCGGTTATTACGTTGATTTCGTGGTACATGCGATCATTCTCCTCGAATTTTACTTAACTGCATTATGTAAAACATTAGAGCACAAGTATCATATAGATATATGTATGTATTGCTTTTTAGCAGCAAAGTATCATTTTAATCACGAAAATCGTATTAGGCTAAGTAAGTTAATGGGGTTTCGGCGAATTTGTTCTTTTGTCCTTGATTCCAGATGTCTACACCAGAATGACGAAGAAAAATCGCGATTGTGGCTCTCCAAACAAAACAAAAGAAACATAAAGAAAAACAATGAAAGTGCCCTAATATTTTTCTTTACAGAATCTAATTTAAAGAAAAGTTCAAATGTAATAAGCGACACTTCCAATGAATGTTTGCAACTTCAGCATGGAATTGTACAGATATATTTAGATTATTATTGTTAAATCACTGAAACATGTCTCCAACCCGAGTAAAATATTATTGGTACCAAAGTTTTTTGTTCGCCCCGCTTTGGTGCCGCCACCCCATTTCTCTCAAAACTGATACCCCACTTGTGAGGCTATACACAGTGAAAAAAAACATAAGGTGATTGTTTTGGTTTGGTTTAGTATTGTTTAACGTCCTATCATCAGGTATGGTCATTTAAGGACGGCCTCCCTGCGTAAAAGATGCATGCGTGTAGTGTATGCGTATGTGTTTTGGGAGGCTGCGATATGTTCGTGTTTGTCTCCTTGTGATTGCCGACCTTATAGTGCTACCTCACTGAAACATACTGCCGAAGACACCCAGCAGGACACCCCACCCGGTCACATTATACTGACAACGGGCGAACCAGTCGTCCCACTCCTAAATTGCTGCGCGTTAAGCAGGGGACAAAAGAAGAGAAAAGATAAGATCCCAAATTTAGTCGTCTCTTACGATCATGCAATGGGCGCAGCAGGTACAATTCTTACGCCCTACCCGCAGGAACTCCATAGGGTGAACACACGTACACAGACAAAACTGAACCTCAAAAGGAATACCGATGAAATATCGAAAACACGGTCACCATAGTGAAATCACAGACAAAAACCAGGTGGTCCAAAAGTACATGCATCACGCGTGTACATTTCTAGGGCCAAATTTGCATTTTTGTCTCTGTTTATATGTTTTATACATGACGTCGTCTTTTATATTTTCAAATCTTGACTGCCTCAAGTTATATATCCCATTATTTTGCCATAATCATTGTCAATGGTAGGGGTATACGAGTAACAGAAAAGGAGAGCAGGCAAAGAAATAATTAAACTACATGTTATAAAAAGGAACAATTTAAAAACACTGAAAAGACATTATCACTGTCCCAAAATGTGCGTATGATTATGCACAGTGTATATTTACAACTGATGAAGACGTATCATTGCAACATTTCAATAACAAACGATATCAGACAATTACAAAAAAAATCAGACAAACTTAATATTCTGTTATATACAAAATCTTTTGCTGTGTGTGACAATTTTTACATATCTAGACACCATTATTCTCATCTAATGCTAGGTTTTCATAACCAAACACTTACTAGATTAACCCTAAGCTTAAAGTCATATGTATACTGTTTAAGTATAAAACGTGAATATACAAGCTATTAATTAAGATTTATAAAAGTGATAGTCATCCTCACAGTGCATGCGTGGTAGTCACTACTCAAAACACAGTTTGAATCATGAACTAAATTTAGAAGGAAAAGATCCGTTTTAAACAAATTGCATGGCCGGGATGTCTTAATCTGGTACATATGATATTTTTATTTTTATTATTATTATATGTTTTCTATCCCCTTGTTTACAATAAATCGGTCGCTCCATAAGTATATTTTGTACTGAAGCTGATTAAAAAGAAGTGATCGACAAGGATCATTGATAAAATCAACAAACACTTCGAAAACGAATTATAATCGATATATAACTATTGCTGTATATAAGAACATCTCCCTTGCCATCCCTTAATTTCTTTCACCTCTTCCTTAATTTTACTCTAGCTCTTTCCTTCTCTTTTTTGTTTTTCATATTTATAAATAATTATTTATAAAGTATATATATTTCATGTTTTTGTGTGTTTTGGGGGTGTTTTTGTGTGGTTTTGTTTGGTCTTTTGTGGTGTTTTGGGGGTATTTTTGTTTGGTTTTGTTTGGTCTTTTGTGGTCTTTTGGGGGTCTTTTGGGGTCTTTTTGGATACATCGTGCTGTCGGTAGTGAAGCTAATTATCCCAGGAAATTATATCGTAAGAACTGTGTTTAAGATATTTGAGAACTACGTACATTTGTATGCGCGCGTGTTGGAGGTGGATTTCTATGAAGGGTGAGGACCTGGAAACCACAATTCTACGATGACGAACTTTGATATTAATATGTGTGTATAAATATGGCAAACACGATTTTATTCTAATTTTATTCCATGATATGGATATTATCTACGTGTGTGCACCGTTGAACTAATAAACATTGTTATGTGAACTTATTTTGTCAGATGGCCAGCTGACTTGTATATATTCCTATGATCGTGTGGATCCTTTTATGATCATGCATGCTAACATTTATTGATAATTCTTTTAATGTTATACCGAATTGACTTGTGTATATTCCTATGATCGTGTGGATCCTTCTATGTTAACGCTAGCATTTATTGCTAATTCTTTTAATAACAAATTTGAGGGCCTATCATGCAATGGTCAGAACTTGTTACCAATCGAAATATGTATGTCTGAATGAAAGAGGATCGGATGTCAACGTCGTTTGCATTACAGTAGTGGAGTGTAAACGAAGCGAACACTTGGCTAGCGATCAGATGTATTTTGTTTAATCAACACACAAAGACACGAAAAAATGCACATTTGGCTTTCATTGATCAATTTTACAAGATAAAGATGTTTTGTTAAACTATTTTCCTAACTATATATCCCTTATTTGAAGATGCTTCGTACACTTTAAGTATACGTCGCCGCATTGGTCTACTACTTTATACGATGGCCGATAGCGGCCGACAGAACACTCGTATTAGTAAAAAGTGTTCTGTCTGACAGTTTGTCAAATTATAAGTGGGCATTTTACACATTTTGTAAAAAGTGTAAACTGTCATGACACTTTGTCAATTCATGCATGGCAGTTTACTCATTTTACTTTCACAAAATAAAAACTGGGGGAGGAGGGAGAGATGGGAATAGGGTCACATTCCAAGGGTTTAAGCATAAATCACACGGATTAGACGGTGTTTTTAACTGTTCATTGTGTACACTGGGAGCAAGAGGGAGTTCCTGCTATGAAGTAATTTATTGACGAACACAAGTTCAATACTGAAGGTAGCACTGGACTTTACTGGCAGCAGGATAACCTTTCTTGGTAATGTTACACACCGTGTGCTTGATTTGAAGGTCACAAAAAAATAGGAGGCTAATCGTTGTTTTGATAGAAATGATGGCATAGTCAAAGTCTGCATACTATTTAACCGTAATGTTTGATATACTCTTTCTTGAATATAGCACAGAGTTGTTACAATTTTGATACAATAGTTCATACCATTAATTTAACTTATCCGGGAGAACACGGTAATGATAATTGTAATTATTGTAATACTCAGTGACTATTGACAAATTAGTAGTATACATATCATGTTACAGTGACATTCCGAAATGCAAACTGAACCGCAAGACAGTACAACCCTTCGATTTGATGTATGCGTTGTATTTCCTAATACGCATAACGCATCCACTGATAATAGATATAGATATATTTGAGATATATTACATTTTATCGTTGCGGACATATGTTGGCGCAGTCATTAGCTCTTTTGTGTGTCCGTTTAAATAAGTATGCTAAATGCTCCAGTCCCTTTCGAAAATACAAATGATATGCTAGTTATTTACAATATAATTACAATTATCATTACCGTGTTCTCCCGGATAAGTTAAATTAATGGTATAAATTATTGTATCAAGATTGTAACAACTCTGTGCTATATTCAAGAAAGAGTATATCAAACATTACGGTTAAATAGTATGCAGACTTTGACTATGCCATAATTTCTATCAAAACAACTATTAGCCTCCTATTTGTGACCTTCAGATCAAGCACACGGTGTGCAACATGACCAAGAAAGGTTATCCTGCTGCCAGGAGTGTCTAGTGCTACCTTCAGTATTGAACTTGTGATCGTCAATAAATCCTTAAGCTTACATATTCAAAACAGTATACGTATACATTTATAATATAAATACTCTTTAAACAGAATTGTTTTACTTACTTCATAGAAGGAATTCTATCTTGCTCTGTGTACACGAAGAACAATTAAAAATACCGTCTAATCCGTGTGATTTATGTTAAAGGTAAATAAGTTCATTGGGATAGCATACTACGTTCTGATCAGCCCTTGAAATGTGACCCTATTTCCATATCTCCCTCCTCCCCCAGTTTTTATTTTGTGAAAGTAAAATGAGTAAACTGCCATGCATGAATTGACAAAGTGTCATGACAGTTTACACTTTTTACAAAATGTGTAAAATGCCCACTTATAAATTGACAAACTGTCAGACAAAACACTTTTTACTTACATGAGTATTCTGTCGGCCGCTATCGGCCATCGTAACTTTACGCTAGCGCTGTCAACATACCTGTAATGTTTACGTCAGTTGGTCATAGATGCCACAGGTGAAGTACGAAGGAGTTATTTATAGACACGATGAGTCATAATTATTGTAGAGGCATACCTGTTCATATGCAAATACCTGTGACTGTCCTGAATTTGAATCGAGGCCATTGTGTGTGGACAGAAAATACGTACTGGATTTCCGGGTACTTGTGGTGTCAGGTGTTGGTCAAGCAATCGAGGTTGCTCACCTTTCGGACATCATGTTTCGTCGTTTTATTATTGTGTTTAAAGAAGTTTGTGATTAGACTACCTGCAGTCAGGTAAAGCGATATGTAAAATACATCCGGAACCGAAACTGACAACAAACATGGCGGTCTCCGTCTTATTTTCGGTGTTATATTTAACTTTTGTGTGTTTTGTTGATGTCGGTTGGGGACAGAGAATTACTCCCCCACCCCCTGGGAACTTACCTGTAGTGTCGGATGGTATTGTATACAATCTCCGACATGTACCTGCCATATGCCGGGAGCCGCGCGTGTTGGATCCAGATGAAATCAAGTTTGGGATTGTTATCAAAGGCTCGAAAAAAGCATTGATGAGGGATCAAAGTCCTTACAAAGTGTACGGAAACATCGAGCTGGATAGCAAGGCTTGCCTCTACATCGAACCTGGCACTACAATGCACTTCGGTGCAGGTTATGGAATGATTATTAACGGAACTTTGATAGCAAGAGTAAGTTTTGAGACACCCCCTGTCAGTTAGCTTGATCTAACCTCTCATCTTTATTGACTCATAGTAAGTATGTAGGTGTAATGAACACCTATGGGCAAAGAAATGGACACCTGATAATTAATCACCACACAGGTGAATGAGTACATCTATACATGTAAAGGTAGAGTAGAACACGGAATCCAGGACATCGTACCCGTTTATGGTAGTGTACATGCATGTAGCTTAAGTTTTGCACAGGGACCCGAGAACTTGTTACAGCTATATTTGGACCTAAACAAAGGTGTTCAGAGTAATTTTACATGTTTTATACATGTAGGGGTTTAGATCGACTTTCTGTAAAAATACTATACCCAAATGATGATCGATACATAAGAAAAGATGAAAGCTATCGATGTTGAAATTAATTGACCCCACCGGCCAGTATATATATCTTTCTTGCATCAAAAACCTGCACATTTCTAATAGTTAGTTTAAAAATAAATGTTTAGTAGCTGTACCTTATTTGGAAAGATGGATATTTCTTCTCTGAAAAACCTCCTTTAATACACGTAAATGTGCATGTTCTGCATGCAGACATGATCTCCGTTTCCTTTAAAAACACGCCATTTCCGAGTTTCAAAGTTTCACAGTCATTCACCATGCAGTTTGATTCTACCTGTGATGCCTGGGTTGCAAAATAAACATGTACTTTTGAAGGTACAACATTGACCAAGGGGTTTATTTGAAGGTACAGAATGGATATTATTAAGTTGAATACAGTTGAAGGTGTTATCTATAGCTATTCCTTATAATTATTAAAACTGTGCTAGGGTAATTTGTTACCCCTTTGCATTGTCATCGCTCAAGAAATGAGTGTCGATAGGGGAAGAATAGAATAAAGGGGTCAATAAATTAAATAAGTAGACATGTATTGATACAAAACCTAGTCCTAGTCCACAAGTCGGAGGAAATGTAACAAGCCACAAAGCACCATGCAGTACATCATGTGTACATAGTATGCACCCTCTCTACAGTGTACATAATTAAGGACAGCTAGGTCACATGGCAACACAATCTCATCATGTCAATGATTCTTGGGGTTTTGCATCTTCACAAACGCGAAAGTCACATAAAGATGGTGCATGTCCTTGCTCTGATGATCCGATCAGGAACCATTAAGGTAATAGGATTGTGTCACCATTTCTCAGTAGAATTTCTTCAAATTTTGTAGTTATATTGCTTTGAAGTAAAGAAAATTTTCTGCCACAAAGAAATATAGGTTGTCAGAAATTTAAGGATTTTAAATGGAAATTTATGTAAAAAGGAGTGAATTTTGAAAAAAATATGAAAGACACAATCTTTTGTAAAATAATGTCAATAAAAATGATACTGCCATAGATTAGCATTGCATTAATGTATATCAATTTAATAAATGCTGAAATTGTGTAAAATAAATTATCTATAAACAATTAAAAATTGACGCTTTATAATAAAACCATATACACATAGTAATTGCATGGAAGAGTTATCTTTCTTGAAAAACTTCACAGTAGTGAAATAGGTAGCCGGGTTCCTGAAGTACAGGAAAATGGACACCTTTGACTCATTGATAAAAAAACACCTTTTGTACTGTCAATAATAAACATACAATATTCATCAGTTTAATATTAAACATTAGAATATGCGGAAATTGTGATACTGTCTCCCTACATTGGATTTTCAAGTAGGGATGTACTTCCTATTTCCGTTTATCAATACACTCCTATGACCTTAAATTGAGTTCATTTCATATTAAAGTGCCATCTCACTGAAATCTTATAACAAGTGGATAACGATAGCACAACACTCGACTCGGTCGCATTAATACTGATGATAGAATTACCTGTCATTGCTAGTACCACCCATTTAAAAGTTAAGTTTTGCCAATTTAAGTATAGGAATGTGAGGAAAAGAGAAGTGGTTATATATATAGAGAGAAAAAAAGGGAAAATAAAAACTGCTGCAGATCCTGAATTCTTTGATAATATATAAAAACATGAACAAATGATACAAAATAATTATATCAAGTTATATAAAAGCATTAAATTAAATCAACAACTAAATATATTTGCAGGGTGCAACTTATAAAACATAATAAAGTTACAGGAACTATGTTCATTATAAATATACAAAAGAGTGAAAAGTTATGTTTTGTAGTCTAGACTATCAACCAAACACTGTCTATTATATCTATATTTTGTATGTTTACAGGGAAGTGAAGGACCAGGCGGACGGATAACCATGACTAAAGATCCCGAGGGGATTAACGTAGTAGGGAGTAGTTCCCCTTTCCCTACTACAGCTCGACTGATGGATGGAAACACTACACGAGATGGCAAACTGGAACTCTTCTACAAAGGCAAATGGAGGGGCGTGTGCACCAATTATCTCAAGTAGGCTATTTCTCAGCAATGGGTCTTATATATATGTTTACATTAATTACTGTGATTTTTGGCCTTTTCAGGACGCTAAGATATTTAAGTCCAGGATTTAACATTAAACATATATGACTCGCTCGCATTTTAAGAACATGTTATATTATATCTCCTTAAATGTAATGGGCCTTTTTATCAACAATTCGAAAATAATGATCATCAGCGCTCACCTGAACAAAATTTTACAAGAATCTCTATGATCTTCAGTTTAAATGTAATGTTTCAAAGTTGGTTGTGCTCAATTGTCCATGGCCCCTATATACATATATATATCCTTCCTAATCATTGTTATAAAATTATGTAGCGTGTTTATAGTGCTTATGATGAAAACCCATTATATAAGGCCTCTTTCGATTTATTTTAATCATTTCAACTGGTTGAATCTGTAAAGAAATGACAGACATTTAGAACTGAAGTGAGGTTGACTTCAGAAATTTTAGCACATACAGTATGTATGCAGATTAATTTGGGTTGCCTTTGTTGATACATAAAAGAATGTCAATTCATATATATACATGTATATATTTCAGAAAATATTAAAAAATCTATAGTACATTAGAGAAAGAAGCATGAATACTTCTTTGTCTGTTGCAATTTATTGTATAGAAAACTCCGAAACTGTGGTATTCAATTAGTGGTTTTTTTAATGTTCAGTAAGCACTGTAAAAGTACTACTGATGATGTACCTGTTTCCTTGACAGTTACTCCAAGATAGATGCCAATGTGACGTGTAAACACCTTGGATTTGTCGGGGGCAACTTCACCTACCATTCGTTCTCCCGTAACAGGACAGAGTACATGTTTTACCCACGCCCTGAGTGCTCAGGGACTGAAACAGATCTTTTCAACTGCCCAGGAAATCAGCGCATTAACGTTGGCACACACATTTGTGGTGAGTATCATATTGACACCAGAGCTGTACTATTTCTCTTCCCTGATGCCCACGGATCGTACATTTCATGTCCGGGCTCCTGATGACACCACCATGAAAATGCCCACTATTTGCTGTAAAAATATGGATCGGCCTAGTAGAATTTTCCAGTGTCTGTCTGCGGGCTTGTAATCTAAATTGATACAAAGTTGTATACCTCCTGGCCATGGCCCACAAATTTGTAATGAGTAACGTTAACATTGATACATATATTTGTGCTGAGTAAATGATGATACAAATATTTGAAGTGAATTTATCTTTGTCATGAACAATTGTCATGAAATATCAACACAAATATTTGTAATGAGTTAATGTTGACAGATATAGATATAAGTTGTGAATTAATATGGTCCTCAGATATTTTTGGTGAGTTATATTTAATCAACACAGATACATACATAAGTATTTGCACAGTGAATTATTGAATAATTAACATAGACACAAACATAAGTCATGAGTGTCATTGACACAGATATTTGTGGTGAGTTAATGTTGACACAGATATTTATGGTGATTTAATTTTGACACAGATATTTATGGTGATTTAATTTTGACACAGATATTTTTGGTGAGTTATATTTAATCAACACAGATACATACATAAGTATCTGAACAGTGAATTATTGAATAAATAACATCGACACAAACATTAGTCATGAGTGTCATTGACACAGATATTTGTGGTGAGTTAATGTTGACACAGATATTTGTGAACTAGAGATCTCATAATTCATTTTCAACACATTTTGATACAGATATTTTGTATTTAGGTATTGCTATCTGATTTATGCCAAAGTGTAGCAGCATTTTGATACATATATAATAATAGGCTTTTTTTCTGTGAGTACAAGCTTAAGGTTTTACTAAAACGCATCAAAATGTATGTATTTCTAAGTGCATCAAATATCAGTTGAAAGTAGGCAAGTGTACTTAAGCATTGAACTGTTTTTGTATGGTATTTATGATCTATTTGAATGACACAGCTTTGCAAGCAAACAACATAATGCGCGCTAGCGCGCATTATGATTTGTGTGCTTGCAAAGCTGTGTCATTCAAATAGATCATAAATACCATACAAAAACAGTTCAATACTTATATTTACGTTTTCTCTGCCTCTTATGTTCTTTTTTAACTTATAATTTATATTTAAAATTAAAAATGCCCGCCTTATCGACAGTCCACACAATTTCGTTCAATAGTTTGAACAGCATATTGTCGCGTGCTGATTGGCAAACAAAGTAGTACTTTGAAATTTTAACAAACACTTCAATTTTATTCCACAATTCAGTATCAATACAATTGCGTATGATATGTCTATAGGGTGATTTAAGTTTATCAATAGAACTCTGAGCTGAAAGTTAGATTTGAAATTGTTTCGATTTTTCCCCGGAACAAATTTCGCGCATGGACAAATACAGTGAACACCGTAAATCCGACCTTGCCCTCCACGAGGGAGTTATTTTTGGAAGTTAATTCGAACTTTTCTCTCGACTCATTTTGTGAAGAATCCAGGCGTGAATGTATTTGTTGATTGTATGGGAACCTGACAACAGTCGGGAGATTCTATAACATCCTCGCTATTGGACATGTTGTCAGAAACTGAGGAATGGTGGATGCGAGATGCGTGAAACTGATAGCATTTGCAACGGAGCACAGGTTCACAAATGTCTGAAATGTTTATGTGTGCTGTGACTCATATCAGGTGTCAGTAGGGCTATAGAATATGTGTATTTCAGACATTTGTAACGAACCCCTGTTGATCAGTGCAGTGTAACAGACGATATTTCTGATAAATTGCATGAGCGTTAAAATTGTTTCCATTGCCGGCATTGGTGATTTCAACCAATGTGCATTTTGCACGATATTGCAGACTTTGGTCTTGTTTTCGTTGTAATAGAAGTGTTTTTTTATTTAATTTTTTATTTTGCACATACATTTACAATGACATTGTCGAATCTCACAATGCCCAGCGATATTTCAGCAGCCGTCATGTTTATTTATATTGGATATGGTAGTTCCGGTCAGTATTGTATTCATACGCTAAGAATTGTGTCTCGTGATGCATGGTAATTAATCAGATCCGTCACGTTATCATCCCAAAGAGGCTAATTATAGTGACAATGCCATGCAAATGTAAATATAGTATTATATGACATTTTATTTTAGATGGACAACAGTTGATCGGTTTTGAGTGTATAGGTTTGCGATCTGACTTGGCTATGGATTATTGGCGTGGACTTGAGTTCTATAACTCTACAACAGAATCTATCAAGGAAGAAATCATCATTCGCAAGGAGCCACTGTCCTGGTTGGAATACCTTGACATATCTTACGCTGGGCGAGACATTAACAGAAATGACGGCATGATTCATGGTCGCGCCAGCATCAGTGCTAGTCCTGATGTTCCTTTGATGAACAACGTGACTATCACCAATGGAGCGTACGACGGCCTCAACATGACGGAGATTACCGGGCGTATACATATAGCCAACAGCACAGTAGCAGACAACAGAGGTAATGAGGGAGAGGTCACCAGGTGTCAAATGGGGTAGAGGTCAAAAGCCATAGGTCAATTAGGGAAATGTCAACAAATGTTGGCAGGTGTACATGAAAGGTCAATGAGGGAGAGGTCACTAGTGTCAAATAGAGAAAAGTCAAAAGACAAAGGTCAACAAGTGTAAAATCAATGAGGGAAATGTCAACAAATGTTGGCAGGTGTAAGGTCAATGAGGGAGAGTTTACCAGGTGTCAAATAGGGAAAAGGTCAAAAGACAAAGGTCAACAAGTGTAAGATCAATGAGGGAAATGTTGACAGGTGTAAGATCAATGAGGAAGAGGTCAATTGACAAAGGTCAACAGGGCTAAGGTCACTGGAGTGAGGTCAACTGACAAAGATCAACAGGTGTAAGATTAATGGTAAAAAGAGAAACTGACAAAGGTGGACTGGTGCAAGGTCAACAAAGGAGAGATCAACAGACAAAAGTAAGGTGTAAGGTTTATGATTGTAAAGACTACAGAAAAAAGTTTAATAATACATGTATAGTCAAAGGGAAAAGGTAAACAGTAAAATAATCATTGTCTGCTGAGAAAGGTCAATGACCAATGAGGATCCTATAGCTGGTTTAAATGGTAATAATGTTACAAAGTGCATGTAAGGTTGCAACAACGATTTACATGGTAAGATACAAGGATTTAGATGTACAGGGTCAGTAAAACAGAACTGGTTAAATATCAACTTAGGTAGTGTTATTATCTCCCCTTATATATTGAAATATTTGCTCATAAGGTTGTTACTAATCAAATACATAAAATGTTCTCACCTGAAAATGGTTACATGGCATAACTGATCAATTGTGCATGCCTTGTTGATTTTGGGTGTCTGCTCTTGTAAATGTGTTTTAATTATTAATCCTGACAAACTTGAGCATAGCAAGGTGCTCCATTATAAATATGAATTGTGAATGAAATCCCTAGAGTTTTTAGTTTTAATTATCTGTTTGTCATATATATCACCATGCCAAAGTTATGTATGACTTATATTGATGAGACTACTAATCTCGGTTTACTTTGTAGGTTACGGAGCATTCATCCAGAGTAATGTTGGTCGTGTGTTGATAAACATGACTGACATGGACAACAACTGGGGGGACGGGGTGAAGATGTATATGACAAACTTCACCATCCATGACTGGGACAGTGACTTTCCTGCTGATGTCTCTTTCTGTCGGTCAGCTAACTTACTGTACCAAACCTACCCTGTTCTCGTACATGAAAACATTATTGATGACTACGGGAATAAACCAACATGGGACGGTCGAGACTGTGAAAAGGTAAATGGTTTGAATGAGTTTGTTCGGGATACTATGGCAAAGTCCTGACACGGGTAGGGCCGCAGTTGCTAAGTGGTTCGGTTAAGCGTCTGATGGTCTTTGAGCTTAAGCCCTCCACCACTGGCTTGCAGGTTCACCTACATGGGACAGTTGCCAGGTAATGGCTGCAGGTCAGTGATTTTTGTCGGGGGACTCTGAATTTCCTCCATCACCAAAATCTGGCTGAGTTGCATCCTTAAATGACCATAACTGTTAATTGGACATAAAGCACACAAAAAAACAAGTTATGACCAAGGTCAAGAGTTATCAATATCAAAAGAAATATACATGTCATTACTCTGTCTTTGTTTCTGAACAGATTTTGATTATTGAATGAATTAACGAGTTAAGTGTGAGAATACAAAAAGCAAGTTAGTGTTTTAGGGTTGCTGAGGACAAGGTCACCATTACTATTTATAGAAAGATTTGTCCCTTTATATGTGTATTTCTGACCGAAATTTACACGAAAATGAAAAAAAAAAATGAGGATTATTCAAACAGGTGTTCAGAATCTTACGGCCAAGGTCAAAGACTGCTATTCATAGAAAATCGTTTTCAGTATTGAATTTCTGAATTCTCCCGAATGAATCAACTTCAATGTCAAATGAGAATTTATAAACAATATGTAGATATAGTGAAATTATTTTCTTAAATCTTAAATGAATGGAAACAAACATCCTTTTGTCACATAAAGAATGTCTGTCAATATATGAAAAAACCTGTTTTCATACATCAATCAAGGCATAAATGTTACTATTTCAACTTTTTGTCTGTTGGCATCAGTATGGAATCTCAGTGTCTGGATGTGAGATTTGTTATTTTCACATTTGATTGCAGGTATACCGTGGGTATGGAAAGCGGATCACTGTCCACTTCCTGTTGATGGAGAGAGCTCCCTCTGTGTCTGGTTTTATGACGATCTATGATGGGGCAGGTAGTAGTGGAAATATTTTGGCGACATTTCCTTTCAACAACGGCTCGTTTCCTCAGTCCATCACCAGTGACACAGATACTCTTACTGTCCGTTTAAACTACACTTTACCAACACTAACAAAACCCACAGACCCAAAGAAACAGTGGTGCGAGGTGTTCCGCCCTTGTGTTCGCTTTCTCTTGGAAATAACAGCTGCAGAAGGTAAGAAATAGGTGTAAAATAATTAAACACTGCACATCCTTTGAAAATTGCATTGATTAAATGTATATGTTTATTGTATTGATTGTATCAATGGTATATCTATGTACTTAAATTGTAAAGCACTTTGGTGTGGCGTATTCTAGCTAGATGGGGTACTTTATATCTAATGTTGTATTATATTCTTATGATTACATTTTATGCAGTTTATATGTACAGGGAACTAACATGTTTGGGTATATTCATTTATTTTCTGACTTGGTTGGTGTTATTGAAATGCGATTGCAGTCTGTAAGAAAGTTAAGACCCAGTGGCCCCTCCCTGGGTACTGGGAGCAGGGTTTAAATTAGATCAATTTCAAAATGTCTGTTTTAGACCACCAATATACTGTTTCCCAGGAAATTTTCGCCCAGTCAAACTTTTGTCCAATGCTTATAAAATCTTAATGTTCCCTGTGTTCATTTTGTCTTTTACTATTGATTCCTTTGTTTATTATAATGACTACTAATTAATGTTCGCTCTGACAATAAATCCACCCTCATTTCTGAGAGTGCCGATGGTGAAAGTTAAACTGCAGTGAACATTTGTTGGTGTAAAGTATGTGATGGATTAGCTATTTGTTAGACGTGATGTGCTTGACACTAAGTACTGCAGGCTAGCTTCATTAAATATGCATTAAAATGTGATTTCAATATGTCATGTAGTTTTCCATGTTTCATTCTAGGTCCAGAGGAAGAGTTCCGCTTCATCAACTCTAGTGCATCTAACAACAATGGCTATGGGGTCAATATCCAGGACATGAGGAGCAAAGTCTCCTTTAACTCATCTGTTGTGTCTGACAATAAGTATGGTGCAGGAATACGGATCTACCAGGGTGCTGGCGAGATCGCTATAAACAATACTGTTGTGGAGCGTAATTTGCGATCAGGTGTGAATATAACGTACTCTGGGGGCTATCAGCTTGTCAACAACTCAAAAATCATTGACAACAGGGGATACGGCATCATTTCTGAATATGAACGCCTCAACAAAACAAGATTTGAACTTCTCCAGAAAATAGAAATTGTCCATAGCCACTTTGAGTTCAATCAATGGATTGCCCTACGTATAGGAAACTATTGCCGCGGTGGTCGTATTCTCGTGAATGAGAGTAACTTTAATTTCAACTTTGATGAGGCCATAGAGTATTTGTCATGCAATGTATCAACAATGGTTCCTACTAATTTCAGTCTGGCCTTTAATATGTTCAATGGAAACGTACGTCACGGAGTGCTCATGTTTCCTATGGTTAACACTATAGGGCGACTGACAAACAACACCTTCAGAAACCATAGTCTGGGAGCTGTACGAATAGACAATGGTTATGATCTGCTGATAAGTAAATGGTATTCAGATTTTGGAGTGAGTTATGAAATATTTGAAAATATCTTTAAAGAAAATTATGGGCGTTATGCTATCAGTATGCGTTTAACACAAAGTAGTCCATTTCAGAAAATTGTCTTTAGCTTTAATTCTGTGGTAGACAATTACATCAATGACACTTCGGATTTCCTTAATCCCAGAAACCGGGCCAACGCTCCAATAATTGTGTCGTCAGGCAATATTTTAGTGCAAAGAAACAGAATCTTCAATCCTCATTCGGTGCGTGATATGGCTACTCATCTTGTTGACCCGTCAGTCATAATTAAAGGAGATTTGAACTGGTGGGAGACCATCAGTCATGAGTATATGTACGGCAGGATTTTTGACAATGATGATCGCTACAATTTGGCAGAAATAGAGTATTACCCAGCATTACGTGATAACTGGCTTTATGGACCGTTGTCTACTGCAGAGTACCCAAAATACCGCTGGGTCTTCTCGCGTGGTGGACGTATCGGTGGTGTTTTAGACACACCAGGATTTACAACTGAATCTGGAATACAAACATATCATGTTGATAAGGATATCTTTATCCGTCCCGGTGTAACATTTACCATCCGCCCTGGCACTACTCTGGAGTTCGAGAACTCCATTGGAATGGTCGTTCATGGAAGACTGAAGGCTGATGGTGGATCAGCAAATACGCCCATTGTCTTTCAGCTGCGAGAAACCTTGGATGTCATTGCAATAGAGAACAGGACAGCATCTGTACGCCTCGTGGATGGTACAGACGAGTACGAGGGACGACTGGAGGTGCTCCTTGACAATGCGTGGGGCACTGTCTGCAATGATGTAAGACTGTGTTTTCTTAAGTTTATAGGCAGTATTGTTCCAGTAGAATTAGGATATGTCTTAGGATCAAATTAGTGGACAGTAAAGTAAACAGGTGATTTATTATCGCAGTTCCATATAAGGAAGTTTAACGAGATATTTGAAATACATGTTGGTCAACTGACCGCACATTGAGTACAGTATATTGTTATTTTGTTGGGGTAAAACCTCTTATTCTTCAAAAATTTATAGTGCTGATTTGTGTTGCAATTGTGTGTTTTTTCCCACATTTTCATCTAGGAAATACCAAAACAGTAATTTCTATCACATAAACATTTTATTCTTGTACATAGGGATGGACTCCACTGGACTCTAGTGTGGTCTGCCAACAGCTAGGTTTAACCTTTAACCCTGAATTCGGAGAGGCTCTGAATAAGAATGCAGGATTGATTTCAACACAGAAAATGCACATGAGTGGTGTAGATTGTGACCAGCTAGACACTGACCTCACGAAATGCCGGTCACTCCGGGATGACCAGTTCTCTTGTGATCCACGCAATATTGTCTTTTTACGCTGCCAACTTTCAACCTGGTCAGGTGAGTTGCAATCTTGTGTCCAAAAAACCTGCATTTTAATATCCATAAGCAAAGAAATGAGACCAACAGTCTAAATGTTGCATTCTTAATTACATGTATGACCTGAAATTCTATAAATCTGTCAATATGTAAGAAATATGCTTTAAAAATTTGTGAGAACCTTTAATTTGTCATTTTACTTTCGCCTGTCAGTAAAGGATAATTGCTTAAGTACCTTCAATAAGAGACACACAAGTGTAACAATATATCAGCAAAATATCGTGATGATCCTAAAATATGCATTATGTTTTATCTAGAATATTTGAGAGAACAGATGTATTATTTCCTCTCTGCTATTTATCTGAGTGTTTGAACTAAACATGAATATTGAAACTTCTATCCAGCTGTACTACCCAAGGTGCGACGCTCTGTAAATGTGAGCTATTCCCGACTAACAGATATTAAATGTTCTTACACAGGCGTCACCATTCCTGCTGTGCCTACTGGAGGAAGTCAGGAAGATACTCAGATCCGTCACGTTATCATCCGTAACGCTGGACTTCTGGACTACGAGGAGATGAAGTACACACCAGCACTCAGGATAGATTATATGTTCTATAAAATGACCGGTCTACAGGTTCTCAACTCAGCATCGGATGGCGTTGTTGTCAAATACAGCAACCCACACACAGAAAACTTGTTTGAATTCTGTAAATTTGATAACAACCTCGGACATGGTTTCCTAACAAGGAGTCCCTATCTTCGAATGTTTTACACCACAATGAGCGGTAACTTCAAGTCAGGCTTTGCCTATGATCCATTCTTCACAGAATATGAGGCCCTAAGTGTCCGCAATTTTATTCACAGGGACAGAATAATATCTTTTACACAGACCCCTATGTATAACCTGGGTGACAGTTCTATGATTTTCATCACGACCTCCTCAGGGTCAGGAGAGGAGAGACATACATACGATATGGAGATCGCTGTGACATTTCGTTATCGTATCACCCTGCAAATCCTTGATTACAACCCTCTCACGACCATTGAATCTGTCACAATTTACGATTCAAGCCAAGACACTATCGGTGAGAGCACCAACAAGTGGGAGATAGAGAAGGATTTGGTTGACTTCCCTATTGTTTCTACCTCGACTCGACTCACCATTCGTCTGGTTGTCACGGGAGTGAGGACAGATAGGCTTACCTTTGCTGCGCATTCACGTAAGTTTACAGAAAGCAGGTTATCCGGGGAAAGAAGCACTGGGCCATAATACACTGTGTTCTTTTCATTTATCAGACTCGCTGGCATATAACCTACCACAGAAATCAATAACAGTTAACATTAAGTGGTAAGCCACATTGATCATCTGAATAATGTATCTGTTGATACAGTAAAAACACCCATGTCATACCTGGTTCTCATGTCCTATCACCAATTATATGACGTCAGAATAAGAAATATAGACATGACATCTTCATACAGTCACAACGTCATGATGTTACAGCGAAAAAAATAGCTATAAGGTCAAAATGGAAAAATTCAAGACTTGACACATCCAATGAAAAATATTTTACATAATTACATGTAGTTGCAGAATTATTTTGCAATGTACAGGAAAAACGCCTTTAAGTTGCTTCCATTTCATTTGAGATTGATGAAAAGCTTTTCTTTTTTACTCAATAGAACCTTGTTAAAATGATCCGATCCAGACTTGTAAATTATGAATTTAATATAAATGTTGGTATATTGTGTGACAGTAAAACCCCAAAGAGGGTTATATGTGTTAATTGGTAGTTTATCATTTCACAGTCTTACATCTTTAATCATGCGTCGTAATTTTAAATGATATAATTCAAACCTTTTAAGGTTTAATAAAGTGAAAGGTACCTACATATTTCCTTTACTTATGGAAACGAGTATCATAAGTCATTTTTGTGTTGCCTGCTACGCCAGGAGACATATAGGTACAATGTATTACTTTGTTGGTACAAGGTTGGTACACATATTGCATACCAATATAGCTCAGACAATTCCGCATTTCAGAAGTTAACGTGCCTTTTTGGTGGAGTTATGCCCCTTTTATTGCCAAAATGAAATAGCTTTTTTTATTTTTTAATCAATTCCTTTCAAATTTTGTACAGTGATGCTAGAAGCAATAATGTTCAACATATATTACTGGTTTTTCTGTCGAGTTTCAACTTTCCGCATTTTGGCATATCTGTTTACGCAATAACTCAAGCAAAAACATTTATCTTACTAAAAGCGCTGAGCAAGCAACCAACAACTCCCGTGGAGTTCTTGTTTTACAGAAATATTCCATATAAATCACATCGCATGATGCATTTTATAGAATTATAAATGTTCAGAATTTGAAAATAAATATAAAAGAAGTGACTCTAATCAGGAAAATCTTCATTCTGTTGCTTCATCTTTCATATAGAAGGGAGAATACTCACATTCAAAAAGTAGCTCTAGCGTGGAATTCTCCTTTGGAATTATAACTTGTGAAACGGCACCTTTTACCATTTCTAAGAAGTTGCAGATTAAAATCTGAAATCATAATTTTATTCAGTATGATGCTGTATCCATATATAAGGTTGAATTTGTCATTACAGATGTTTATTCCCCAACATTCCCGATGTCAAGTATTTACGTGTACAACTCTACGATGGCTAACAACTATCAGGGCATCGTAACTAAACATTACAACAACCCCTCCAATGAGAAAAGTGAGATCTTCCACCGTGCTAAAGAAGAAGAGATCAAGTTTGTCATGGTGCAGGTATATAGGAACAAAATGGAGGCGATGTATATTCCAAGCCTTACAAAATATCACGAGAATTTTTTACCAACCCTTGAGGAAATGACGCGTCCAGAACGTATCGGGATGATCACGTACAAGATTGAGCGGACCAAGTTTTTGGACAATGGAAGAGGTTTGGTGGGGGACCATAACCATGTGGACTTTGCCAATAATGTCTGGCATTGGAATATCACCGACTGTGAGTTCAAAAATACGGCAGACGGCGGGTTTGACATAGAACTACCACGTGTCAATGACATGCTGGAAAGGAAATTTCATTCGATATTCATACAGGAATCAAGATTTGTAAACAATCCACAATTTGGATTTTCAGTGAATGGTTACTACGCCAATGTGACGATGATCAGAAATGTTCTGTCTGGTAATGTATGTCCCCGAGGGCTGGTCACAATTGGAGGGATGGAAAAAGAAATCACATTTCAACACAACAGTCTGGTTGGGAATATCGCAAAATACATGTTTGAGTTGAACACACATAGTCACTCGGAGTATTCAGGTGCCGTGAGTGGAATGTTCTCCCATAATCAGGTACAGGGTAATAACCCTCCTATCAACAGTTTTGTGTCTGGTGCTACAAACATTCCACAGACGTACTCCATCGCCCTGCGAGGTGTGCAGCAGATCAAACTCCATAGGAATCTAATAGATAACCCACAGCTACAGTATGAACTGGTAGCAGCCATTTCCTCACTGTCCCTAGACACTGTGCTGGATGTCACAGAGAACTGGTGGGGTACCCAGTTCCAAAATGCCATCCAGAAGAGAATTTTTGATTTTGATGACTGGAATAACTATGCTCTTGCAAAGTATTTCCCACAGTTGACAGTGGGAGATATAAATAGTCTACCAGCGACAGGCTCTGCATTTAAACCCCCTCTTGACCTGGAAAGACTTGGAGGTCGAGTACATGCAGACTTATCCCTCCCATACAAGGGTACCCCATACACAGTCGTTTCTGATCTAACTGTGATGCCGGGAGCAAAACTGGTCATTGAACCGGGAACTGTCATTGAATTTCATCCAAATGTTGGCATTCTTGTCCTTGGTCAGATAGTTGCAAGAGGACTGCCATTCGCTAGAATAACATTGCGGCCTATTGCATCTAATGCACGTGTCAAAAGGGCCGTAATTGACAGTTATAACACTTCTGTCAGGCTACATAGAGATAATTCAGGCAAAATACCTGAAAATGAGGGATTTCTGCAACTGTTCAATATTTCTTCCCAGTCATGGAACTTCATGTGTGACAGCCATTTCAATGAGAAGATGGCGGAGGTGGTATGTCGCAGTCAGGGTTTGGAGACGGTAAATGTAGATGTTCGGTTTACACATTTGTATGATCACTACATCTTCGGCGAGCCCATGTACTTCCTAAAGGAGTTCTGGAGGTATTCCTATTATTGCCATGGTGATGAGGCTGGACTAGACAGCTGTATGAAGCGTGTTAACTATGACATTCAGAAATGCATTCAAGCAGCCAATTATACATATATCAGGTGTGGTAGGAGGAACTTAGACTTTGGCTATCAATACTGGGGTAATATTAGAATAGCACCTCCAACTTATGAAGAAGAAATTAAACCTGTTATCAAACTTGAGGATAGATCTGTCTTAGAATATATTGATATACACGGAGCTGGTATGCTGCATGGTGAAAAAGTAGGAGCTGTACAGGCCACTTACGACACACCAATCATCAGCAACCTCAACATAACGGGATGCCTGCTGAACGGCCTCGACATGGTAGCTCCGAGACATGAAATGAAGGCACACATGCTAAACATCTCCGGAAATCTTGGATACGCTGTCAACATGCTCATACTTAATGGCGAGTCAAGGGACATTGACATGTCATCGTTCACTCCCCTCCACCTCAACACCGTACCCTACAACATACATGGGCTGGTAGACATATGTAAGATGGAGAAGGAAATCTCCATTAATAATCGTCTGATTGTCTTTTACAAATACTCCCAGACTGCTCTGGACTGTGTTAAGATTGTCACTTCCCAGAATGCTCTGCGTAGAGTCTCTCTCAGGTTTCTGCAGTTCAACCTGTACCATGATGATTTTTATCGTAACACAATTGAAATATTTGATGGAAAGACAGTTTCGCTGGCCACAGAAATGGGAGAACTCACTTACAATAGCAGTAGGTATGACATCTCAAGACGCTACCTCAGTTCTGGTAGTTCCATCGCCATTCACATCCACGCCTCACCTTCATTTGGAGAGTATGGATTCATCGCTGAGGTTGTTGCCTTCCCGCTATCAGGATTAACCTACCCAGGTATGTCTGTTTAAATGATATAATCTCATGCATGTTAAGTCAAATCAGACTTAAGTGTGGTTGAATGATAAATCAGCAAAATTATCTATCATAATTGACTCATGGCTTTCAGTCAACCCTTGACATTTACAAAATGGAAGCTACCAGGTATTTCAAAAGTCAAATCACAGTTTCCGTGAAATTTGAGTCAAAACATAACGTTGTGGGGAGTCAAAAACATACTCTCAAAGTATCAAGAGACTACTGAAAGCCCTGATCATTTTCTTTATAGTGTTTATATATTTTTTGAAAGTGACTACATGTATATATAGCATTTATTAAATTCTGCAGCTGTTTAATGTGATAATAAAACTTTATATTTAACTTTACACACACTATATTAGTAATTAGATTTTAACATTTACATTACCTGTAGAATAACATTCTAATATTTAATTTCAAGAGGTTGATTTATATAAATCTCTATTTCAATTATTTCAGAACAACAGTTTCAATATTGAAAACATATAGTAATGTGATGTATCATTACAAAAATTATTCCAACACAAGATAATATTGAAAAACAAGGTATAAATGAAATTTAATCAACACCTTGAAAAACTGACATGTTAGAAGTATACCTATATAGTTTCCTGTGGTAATAAAAAACAAACTTATTTGGCACTTAATCAAACTTTATTTTCTATTATTACAGACAGTAGTTACAATCACATTCTTCAACACATTGAAATGAAAGGTAATGAAGATGGAGCCATCTTGTACAAGAACGTTGGTGAGGTGAACCCTTCCCTGTATGTCGATCAATGTTGGATCGAAGGAAACGGTGTGGCCATCTTAAATTTGACCTCTCCTCCTGTCATAGACATTGGTCTACAGGATACAAAGATCTTCATTTTTGAGCACAATTTTGTCAGTCAGAATTTAGGAGGAATGTATGTAGACGCGATTACACAGTCTGTAGCGACACACATTCGTGGAAATATCTCAAACAATGTGTTTTCATTTGGTAGACATGGTGAAACATTGAGAATAACTGGTCATCACTATCAGCGTTTCCGCCTACATGAAAACTACATTTTCAACAACACTGCTGGTGACTTTGTAAACACAGTCTATATAGATAATGTCGGGATGAACGCCACATTCAACGTCATTGGAAATAACACTGCCCATCACATTGTCAAGGTGTTCGGTCAGCAGAACACTGAAGCCACACAGATGTTCCTGGGAAATATGTGGTTTGAGAACAACACCACTGCAAAGTATCGCTCCATCTTCAAAGTCGGCGGAGGCAAACCTCTCGTAAACAACAACTACTTTGTCAACTTGGAGAGTGACTTTGAGATGGAGGCTAATCATAAACAGTAAGTGCTATACGACATGTAATGTGTGCAGAAATAAGGTTAGAATTGGTAGTGTAAGCTTTATTATTGTATCAGAATAGGATAGGGACATTCCACCCGAGGAGTTTTAATTTGGTAAAACCCGAGGCTTTGCAGAGGGTTTTGCCAAATTTGAAAATCCAGAGGGTGGGATTTCCCTATCCTACACCCTTAAGCATGAAAGAGTATTTTTCTCTCATTCCAACCACCAGAATAAGCTCAGCATTTTTGAAAATATCAATTTTTCTCCTAAGGTTTTTAGATGAAAACGAATTAGAAGCCAGATTTAGGCATATCCCATATTCGCAAACAATGTTTGCACAGAAAAATTAATCACATCTTTCTAACGTGTACGGTAAATATATCGTAAACAGTTTTAATTTCATCACGTCACCTTTTCTGCATAGTGGCATCAGAGAGTTCCAAATTCGTGACGTCACATCATTGTTGAGCCATTGTGACGTCACATCACGTGAAATGGGGTGTAAGATAGAAATTTCCTACACCCCTTTCTTACCCTGAACAGCTCTATCTTACACATAGGGAAGAGAGAAAAAACATTCCTCTTACAAATCTGCACATAAGTTATGACCATTAACTGAATTGGAAATACAATAATTTATTTAGATATGCATTTATCTTATATAGGTATTTATCTTAAAAGTATGTGGGTGAAAAGCAATTATTTTGCCGATCACTGTCGTAAAAAATGTATTTATGTTGTAGAGGAGTAGCTGACGATGCTATTGATGCCACCAAAAACTGGTGGGGCTCAAACAGACTTGGCTACATTAACGGGAAGATCTGGGACAGCTCGGATAATGACACCCTTGTGTCCATCACCGCTGATCCCTACAGAGTATCTAACCAGTCAATTATAGATGGTAAATTTCTCAGAATAGGTGACCCATCTAGAGTGGGTGGTGTCGAGGGTTGAGGGGGTATGCAAGAACTGTACAAACAGATCATTATAGCCTGAAAGTCTATTGACAATTTGTCAAAATCCTCTGTACGGGTTACAAAATTGATGTAATAGATGTTAAAACAGGAAAAAAGGATATTTAATAATTTGGGTAACATTCTACTTAAACATTTAAAAAAGTGATTGATACATAACATTACAGAAAATTGTGTCTGTTGATAATGGCAACATGTTACAGGAACGGCAATGCATATCCAATGTATCACATTAATAGCTGTAGCATTTTAAGGTCACCTGAGCTTTGCTCAAGTGACCTATTCCGATCACTTTCCGTCTGTCGTCGTCCGTCGTGCGTAAACTTTCTACATTTTCAACTTCTTCTCAAGAACCAGTGGATGGAATATTTTCAAACTTGGTCAGAATCATCCTTGGTAGATGAGGCTTCAAAATTGTAAAATTGGGATTCCTACCCTAACCCCTGGGTGGGGCCTCAAAGGGAAAATTAACCAATATTTCAAAAATCTCCTTCTCCAGACTCAGAGGTACTACAGTCATTTTCTCTGCATGGATGGAAAGATCATCAGGGGCTTTATTTAAATTGTAAATTTCAGAACCCCAGAGCTATCCGTTCTCCCTTGGGGAGGCCCAGGGGTAAAGTTTACTAGTTTATATAGGGAAACAACACTTTTGGGTATATTTTGGCAATTTTCTGTAGGAAATTATTCTTACTTCGTGAGATTTATCCTTGGAGGAAGATGGTTTTAAAATGTAAAATTGGGATTCCTTCCCCAGCCCTAGCGGCCAGGGCGGGGCCCCAAAGGGAACATTTACCAATATTTTAAAATTCTTATCCTTTGATGACATGACAAGTATTGTATTTCACTTAGTTTACATGCTGATTTCCACATCGCATCTAAACAATAAAATAAATCTACCAGTACCTATGATATAACTCAGGTGACCGCTAAGGCCCTTGGGCCTCTTGTATATACAATGGTTTAGATTAATTTGAAGTACCGGGTAGAAGTACATAACTTGATTCATATTAATGTCTTACAGGTAAATGTGCTCCTGGCTGGAGGATACATGAAAACCGTTGCTATAGATACATGGGAGCCGCCCTGCCTTATCACAATGCCATCAGCTTTTGTAGAGTAAGTTTGGTTTGAAAATGGTGGAGAATTCGTTTTTATAAATGTTTTGAGATGGTTTTGACTCATTTCATATATATAAAGTACATTTGATACATTTAGACATTTCTACATAATGCATTTTATATTCTGGTAAGTTTCTTCATTAATAAAGTCGCTCATATAATAATTCATTTATAATTGGAAATTGTCAGTGCTGAAAGGTATTTTTATGATACTGTTTACCTAGAAATGTTCTATGCTACAGAGGGTGAATGGATTTCTGGCGGAGGTGAAGGGCCGTGAGAACTTCATTAGATACCTGATACGTACCACAGAGAGTGTGTACAAAGAAACCCAGCGTGTGTGGATATATGCTGAAGTGGCTGGGGGTTATTGTAGCTCCTTTGAGGATAACTTCATTGTTGCAGAGCAGGAGTGTCATCGCAAGTTTCTACCATTTGTTTGTGAGAAAGGTTAGTGCAGTTTTCAGTTAAGTCAACAGTTATTTTCTAAATCGCATATATCTTGGCCTTGAGTTGATTGGCACTTACATAAAACCTATTTTTTTAGACAGGTTATTGGGGTCCTTGGTACTTTCATACCTGGTAAAACCTTTTTGTCCAGACAGGTAATATGAGGCCTAGTTACCTACATAAAACCTATTTTACAGACAGGTAATATGAGGCCTTGGTACCTACATAAAACCTATTTTTACAGACAGGTAATATGAGGCCTTGTTACCTACATAAAACCTATTTCTACAGACAGGTAATATGAGGCTTTGGTCCCTACATAAAACCTATTTTACAGACAGGTAATATGAGGCCTTGTTACCTACATAAAACCTATCTTACAGACAGGTAATATGAGGCCTTGGTACCTACATAAAACCTATTTTACAGACAGGTAATATGAGGCCTTGGTGTAACAAACTTGTCTTATTGCAAGACCTTACTCATTTAAACAAAACTATAATTACCAATTTCAAATCGATGTTGGGAGAAGCAGTCTCCTGTTACTATATTCACTTTGTGTGTGTATTTATTTACTTCCTGTAATGGTAATATAGAAAACCATCGTGATTAACTGAAGGAATGTTTTGTTTGCAGTATGACAAAAGTCACTAGCAGTTGAAGTGATAATGTATAACACCCATGGGTCAGATTACAGTTTATTGGTGTTCATGTTTCAGACCCGTACATTCTACCGCCTGGATCTGAAGTCCTGACCATGGCCATTGCCATCTCTGCCAGCGTGTTTGGAATAGCAATCATCATAATTGTTGTCCTCCTCATCTTGTGGCGCGTTAAGTCTCGGCAGCGAAAAGAAGAACAGTTTGGGCGCACACAATCAATAAGGATGTCAAAGACGTCGCTCAACAAGTCAAGATCAACAATCGCTATGCTGGACGATAAATATTCTGTGTCTGGTGTGTCATCACGAAGTAGATACTCTGATGAAAAATCAATGATGGCATCTGCAATGAGTCTCACTAGTGAAAAACGAGGGCACCGTGACAGCAGGTATGATTCAAATGGATATATTGGGTCACGTGACAGATTGCATGAAAATGGGCGAGCAAGATCACGTGACCAAATGGACAGTGAGCGACGTCTTGGAAACCGGGATGACAGATTAAACAGTAGTAATAGGAGGCTTGGCTCAAGAGATCGACTCAATAACAATGGTAGGTATGGATCACAAGGTGGACTTCAGGATGATCGAAAGTATGGATCTCGAGACGGGCTCAATGATCAACAGCGATCAAAATCACGTGACAAACTGGATGAAAAGATGCGATCTGGTTCAAGAGAACGATTGAATCGTTCAGAAGAGAGACTTGACAGAGTGTTACTTGAGCGACAGACTCGTTCAAATCTTCATCAACGTGATAACAAGAAAAATGGCACAATTCAGAAAAATGGTACAGTTCCAAAAGAGAGACAAACTGGCTCTCCCCAAGAAAAGAAGCGTCTTGTTCCAGCTTATCTCGATAATCAAGATACAGATGTAGGCTATACAGATGATGGGTTTTCAGAAAATGAATTTGATGATTTTACAACTACTGCTGATGAAGGTGGAAAGGATCCTAATGATACAGATGCTGCTAGCACAGTGATCAACTTTCATACAACTAAGAAACCACCCCATGTGGAAAATGAAATTGATTCCCTCCACGTAAAACCTTCAATGAATGACCTTTATCAGAATCACACATTTAACAGCACACCTAGTGTAGACCTTAGTGGGGCTAAGTCACTGTCCAGTTTTTATCAGCCAGAGAGTCCCGGTGAACGTCCACCTACGCCACCTCCTCCACTTCCTGTTGATCAATACCCTTCAAAGTCTCGGAACCAGTCCACAGACCATGAGCCCGTCCCACAACCCCGGCAACGTCCAACACCAGTCCCAAGGTCATTACAAAACAGTCGGGAAAGGATGGATCCGGGTAGTGGCTCTGAGAGGAGTGGACCAATCAACCCTGCACTCAGATTTCAAAACGCGCCAGGCAGACCTCCGCTGCATCTGAGTAGAGAGAGTCTGAATTATCTAGACAACAGACGTGAGTGGATGACTGATCAGATGCCGGAGAAACAAGAGGATAGTGAAGAAGAAACCGAAACTGAAACAGAATCGGAGACAGAAAGCAGCGAAGAAAGCTACGAAGAAGAGGAGAAATTCACTGACAAGAAAGATTTACCACATCCAGTTACCTATCATACAGACCCCCACAACAGGCCTAACAGCCGTGAGAATTTGTATGATCCGAAAACCTATATACCTCCTCCTTATGAGCCTCCTCCTTATGAAGCCCCTACATATGGTAACCTACCAGATGATGATTATACCCATAGGAGTCGCAGTCGGGAAAACCTTCCTCAGTCTTTTAGTACAATGGACGGTGGACAGAGCCACCATCCCCATGACTACAATCCGGCACCCCCTGTTAACCCTGGAAGTATAAATTTAGGCTTTAACAGAAGCCGTGAGAATATACCTGAAGCCATGAGCAACATGGACTACTTGAAGGATGTTCCCTATGGTGGTGCTAGTAATGACAGGTATCGGCCAGGCTTTGACAATGGTGCCTTTGTTGCCAGTCCCAAGCACAGCCCAACAGAGCCAATGGGGAGTGTTAATGATGTTCGAGGAAGTAACCAATATCTTGACCAACTGTCAAGGAGTCGGGAAAATCTCCAAGGCTACCCAGGTCATGGAAACCAAGGCAACATGGGTAGCCGAAATGACGTTAGTAGGAGTCGACAGAGTTTAGATCATTTATCGCGGAGTCGGGAAAATCTCCAAGGCTACCCAGGTCATGGAAACCAAGGCAACATGGGTAGCCGAAATGACGTTAGTAGGAGTCGACAGAGTTTAGATCATTTGTCGCGGAGTCGGGAAAATATTCATGGAAGTATGTTGAGTGTTCATAGTCAGCACCGGAGTAGAGACAATCTCGGAGTGGTGTATTTGGACAGTGATAGGTCACAATCAGGCAGTCGTCCACAGCCAATAGAAACCGAAATATAACAGGGAAATCTGCTTGCAATTAACATGATTTTATGTATTTTAGCTAAAACAGTCAAACATTAATTGCCTTTTGATGCATATCAATTAATAATATCATCCAATTTTAAGATGATTTGATTGAATCTTACATTGGATGTAAAATGCACATATCATAATTAAATGTATAATTTTTTTGCCATTGAAAGTTGAATAATTATTATAATTGAAATTGTAACTTCATGTATATACACATGTAATGCAATTCAAATTTAATTTTAACCGAATCTTCAGACATTTTTACTGAAGTCTATTTCATGATTTTAATACTGCATGCTACAAAGTTATATGTAATTGATTATGCAAAAAATGTTTGTTATATTAATATGATTAATCTTGACTTTATTTATTTGAATAATACAACAAATAGATTAAGGTGATATGGTATGATCTTTATACTGTTACAAACTTATGTTATCAAATAATATACACTAAAAGTAATTTGTAAAATATGCAAAAAGAGGTATGACCAGTAAGCATTCACATTTCCCTAAAACTCTTGGAGCTTCGATTTAGTTGAATCTGCTCAAGTGACCACACCCATTAGGAAACCACCTCCCATTGAGAAACTATCTCCCATTAAGAAACTATCTCCCATTAAGAAACAACCTCCCATTAAGAAACCGCCTCCCATTTAGAAACTATATCCATTAAGAAACCACCTCCCATTATGAAACTATCTCCCATTAAGAAACCACCTCCCATTAAGAAATTATCACCCATTAAGAAACCACCACCCATTAAGAAACCATGGCCACGTCCCATTAAGAAACTTTCTCCCATCAATAAACCACCTCCCATTAAGAAACTATCTCCCATTAAGAAACCACCTCCTATTAAGTGATCACACCCATTACTCAATAATTCTCCATCTTTAGAGATCACTATTTACTTATACCAACAAAGCCCTTTTAACTTTATCAAAATCTCTTTGCTAAGAGAGCTCTTTAAACCTTCCAAAAAGCATTTTATGCTGGTAGCATTCTCTGAAGACTAAATACAATATTCACCTAAATTTAGGTGTTTTTAATTTCATATAGTATAAAGCTTATATTTCAAATGCACCGAATAGAAAAAAACAAAAAGTGCTAATATACCTATATGGTAGATGTATCAGATCTGTGTATGGCTTTGTTTCCACAATCCATGTAATTTTGCCCTAGATAAATAAGAATTAGCAAACACCGTATTTTGTTTATGTACATGTATGTAATGTAGCTGTTCCAAGGCCTGTACCTATATGTATGTTTTCCCGTTTTATAATTTACCCACTTTAGGGAAATATGGGCGTTTTACTGCCATACCTCTCCCAATGAACAGCTATACATGTACTTATTGTTGTTTGAAGTTTTGACTCCAGTGCCTTGTTTATAAGAGACTTTTGATTTTTGGTGAGTTAAAATTGTTTTTTAAAGTAGTATCACCCGAATAATTTAGATGATCCAAAATTTTATTTTTTCATTGTTGAAGAATTTTGTGAGAAATCACTTGATTTTTTTATGTTGGCTAGTTTTTGCATTCTGTGTATGTGTTTCCACTATGATAATCAATGAACTGGTGAATTTTGAAACACTTAAGCAGATCATTTAACTTGATGATGTTTCAGTTAATATAACTATAACGGAAAAAAATCAAGAATTTTTCTATTAATTATTTCAAATTGCCAAGGTCAGGTATTCGAACAAGTGACATACACTTTAATTAGGTTAACTTGTACAGAATTTACAATGAATTTATAATTGATTTAAGCTAGGTTAATTAACTTTTACTTGATTTACGTTGGGCAAACCTATATTTGACTTACAGTGAGCCCACATGTACATGACTTACAGTGGGCCCACATGTACATGACTTACAGTGAGACCACAAGTACATGACTTACAGTGAGCCCACATGTACATGACTTACGGTGAGCCCACATGTACATGATTTACAGTGAGCCCACATGTAAATGATTTACAGTGGGCCCACATGTACGTGACTTACAGTGAGCCCACATTTACATGATTTACAGTGGGCCTACATGTACATGATTTACAGTGGGCCCACATGTACATGATTTACAGTAAGCCCACATGTACATGACTTACAGTGAGCCCACATGTACATGACTTACAGTGAGCCCACATGTACATGATTTACAGTGGGCCTACATGTACATGACTTACAGTGGGCCCACATGTACATGACTTACAGTGAGACCACAAGTACATGACTTACAGTAAGCCCACATGTACATGACTTACAATGAGCCCACATGTACATGACTTACAGTGAGCCCACATGTATAAATATGTATAATGTAAGTTAATTACATGATTTACAGTGGGCCCACATGTACATGATTTACATTAGGTTAGTAACTTGTACTTGATTTACGTTGGGTTCACTTGTACTTGACCAACTTTTAGTTAACTTATACTTGACTTACTTTCAGTCTTTGAGTTATACTTCTCATTGATTTGATTTAGGTTAATTAACTTGTACTTGATTATCGTTGGGGTAACTTGTACTTGATTTAAGTTAGTTTAATTAAATTATACTTTGTTTAAGTTAGATCAATTAACTTATGCTTGATTTAAGATGGGTTTACTGTGTTGAGTACAGCGTTATGTTGCACAAGAAATCTGGGATTTAAGGAAATTTGAGTTCACATATCTGGTTCCTTGTAACCTTTCTAAACTAGGTATGATTTCTACTGAAATCTTTGCCACTTTATATGGGTTTGCATTTCAACATTTAAAAAAAATAAATATGTATAATGTAAGTTAATATCCTTTGATATACAGTGCTGATGTAAGAACAAAATATAAGGGAAACATATCAATCTTTATGTTTAATTGTTTATAATAACGGTCAACAAATCACACCATTTACATCAGAGAATAAAAAAATGTTCTGGAATATCTGACGAAAGAAATTGAACAGCCACTATAATGAACAAGGTGTTTTTACAAAGTGTATTATAACAAGACAAATAAAACATCACCAGTTTCCTTAATAGACAGGGTCTGGATAAGACAGGTCATCACTGAAAGTATAGGTGTTATGCTCTCTTACGTTCTCTGCACCCCTGATATATGAATATGTCATGATAAAATTGAAGGCTCTGTCGGCACCACCTTGTGGATGATACAAGTAAAGTAGTTTGATCCTTTGACGTACATCAAACAAATCACTCGACAAGGTATAGCTGTAATATTAATAGGCTTTGAAGTCAGATATCACTTCTCTTTAACCTCAAAGTACAGGTATCAGGCTAGCTATTGGTCAGTTTTGTGTCGCCTGCAACGCGAGGCGACATATTGGTATTATACTTTGTTAGCATCTGTCGTCGTCATTGTCAGTTGCGTTGTCCGAAACAAGGTTTCCGTGTGAACTTGAGTACCCTTGGGTTGATTGAACTCAACCTTGGTACACATATTGCATACCATTATAGCTCAGACGAGTTCACATTTCAGAAGTTTACATGCATTTTTGGTGGAGTTATGCCCCTTTTATTGCCAAATATGGGCATTGTGTAGTAAATGCAAGAACTTTTTTATTTTTTTACTAATTCCTCTCAAATTTGTTACGGTAATGCTAGAAGCAATAATGTTCAGCATATATTACCGTTTTTTCTGGGAATTACAACTTTCGGCGTTTTGGCATAGCAGGCGACACATCCACTCCTGTGGAATTCTTATACCTGAAACCTATCAAATAGCTGAATTGGTGCCTTCAATTTTGACATGACTTATTCCAGGGGTGCACAGAATGTAAGTGACCGGCTTAACCCCTGGAAGATCGAGGATAAAGACAGGATAGAAACATTTATAATTTAAGAGAGGAAATATGGGACCAGCTGTCACATTCACTATAAAGAGGTATTTGATTGAGACAGGTTAACTGTTTATAATTTTCAATAAATTTAATTAAATATTACACGAAAAAACTCCATACTTAAAATAATTTGATCTAGTATGCTTTAAATCTTCATTGCTGAAATGTTTCAACATAAACAATGGTTCTATTGTTGTCAAATGGTTGTACAGTGTATATAGAAATAGGATTTTAACAAACTACTAATATTTTAGAATGAGTCATCTAATTGATATAGTTCTATATTGTACCTACTAATCATAATCATTATTGACTTTTCAGTCAATGTAAAAAGATCTGTGATACTTCATTAATTTTCAAACATGTCTTTTGTTGTTTTTTTGTTATGTAATCAGAATAGAGTTGAGACAAATTGCCACAAATATACAATAAATCAAGTATAGTGTATGTAAAATTTGATTGAAGATGCTCAATGTGATTGGGGATTCTGACAGCTTATATTAATTGACAGTTTATTTGTTGCTAACAACTTGTTACTGTATGCCCCCAATGTTTCCATGTGTACATATCACCCACCTAGCTCTCACCTTTCACCCTTCGCGCACCCAATCAAACACTCCCCCAGCTTCGATCCAACTTCCACTCCACCTACTCTAATATAAACATAAATAAACTAAATCATGATGATGTTGTCCACATTATACATAAAATATACATCAGAAAGTGCTCTTTCCTCCTATTTGGAAAAACATAATTTAATGTATAATAAACTCTGTGTAGCGCATATATGTCAAATTGTTTGAATAACACATATGTTTTTTATAATAAAAGAAATCAAATGAATAATTCATTAATTATTAATCTGCATCCAGGAATATTGGTATATTTTTCTATTTTGCTGTGAATTTTAACTACAGGTTTATATGATACATGTTTGTAAAGTGGAGCTTGACAATGATGATTTATAAAAACAAAATGGGGAATTTTACTATCATAATGTTGGTTATCAGGGCTTTCACGACTGCGGGAGTCTATTTAGCAGTATTTGTAATTTGTACTCCGTACTTGATGGTACTTCTCATGAAACCTGTCACCAGCGTTCTCAACTCTTCATTATCATGTCAAACATGCATTTTATAAGTCATTTTTGCAATTTTTTTTCATTTTATGGCAATAGTCTTACTGTGTCATTTCTATGATTGATGTTTACAAGAGATATGTTTTGTGTATGATCGTTTTTGATATCTTGATATATATCCTTTGAATAGCAAGTCAATAAAATATATTCATACAGTATTTCAATGGTTACTAGTGTCATGTTCTACCATTCGTGTTATTGTTTACACGGGAGACCTTGGTGTATCTAATTTTGGAGAGATGGAGTCGGGGACACTGGGAAGGACCAGGGTGGGGGTGAGGGGGTTTGTACTGTTCACTGCACAAAACACTTTGAATGTATTTTTTATTTTTTCATTTTCATGAAATATAATCAGATGGAGAGATTAAAGACTAACTTCAGTTGGTATGAAGTATTCTTAGGCCAAATTAATTCTAGTTTGTATAAAATGAGGAGGGAGTGTGGCAGTAGAACAGGGCTCAATTAATAGGGTAAATGTGAACTTCTCTCAATGAATAATGTACTCCCTTAAGATGTTAGTATGAAAACGGAATTAGATTAGATCCAAGTCCGTGGTATGACACATCCCCATAATGGTAGGGCAGAGAGGCGGGGTCAAGTGGATTTTGTTTGGGTAATGATCTTCAATATAATATACAGGGTTCATAGATTTTGAGTTCCTTTGGTATGAAGCATACCAGGTCATAAAGGTCTAAAGTATATCGAGACAGTTAAATTACCTATAATACGAATGTCATTTACAAGATTCTAATGAACAGTGTAGATGACTGCGCTAGAAAATGGACAAAACGAGTACTTGCGAAATTGGAAAATTAGGTCCATCATTCTAAAATGAATGAACAGCTTGAAATCCAAGTTGAAAACCAATCACAAGTCTGTACTTTTTCGCCATGATGTCCAACCACACAATGATTTCAATGTGGTTGTGTCGGCAGACAAAACATTTTAACAATTTCATCGATGTCTGCAAACACTTTAAATACTGCTTGTTTAAAGACACATACTTCCTTAATAAACTTAATTATAAACTTTCCAGCCTTTTGAATGCGGTAATACCAGCTATTCCCGCTTCTTTATAACAATCGTTCCAAATACATGTACATTTTAATTTAAAATAAATAGGATATGTACCTGCTCAATTGCATTCGATTTCGATTTATTTTATAAACACCCGTTTTATTGCTGGCCCTGCTAGCTGACAATATTCAAGCTTCTTTACACTATGCTTGGTACCATCAAATCAGGATAACAGTCGTATTGTAACAGTGTTTATCCCAGAAGTGGAATTAATAGAAAGTGAACTAGCACGACCTCAGAAAGATATTTTGGTTAATGAAACAACAAGAGAATAGCGAAATATCAATAAAACCGTTATTCAAACTCGAACATCGAAATCGATAACACTCGGGCAAAATATAGACAAGGGAAATATTTACACGGAAACTCTTTAAAAGGTACAAGAACAGGTGTTCCGGAAGGGTAAGTGTCTTCTTCATCGACGACACCCGCCATGTAAATCCAGGACAAATCAATATCACACAAGGATATAGCAATTTCTAAATGAGATCGTGATGACGACCATTGACCTTGCCTATAGCCTTCATCAAACTGCAACTATGGAAACCAAGATTGTCTGTCAGCAGTCGACATTTACCGAGGAAATTAGGATATTCAGAGCAAGCTCTCGAATACCAAATCAAGTGCGACATGTAAATACTTCAGGAAGCAGTGATATTACTATTATGAAAGAGAAAGTTCACGATCGGTAAATCAAAAACGTCATGTCTATCGTATTGCATATCAGCGAGACGTCAATGTTGATTATGTGATAAGTAAAAATTCAGGGAAAGCGGCAGAAGCAGAACAAACTGTATTGTCCTTGATTTCAAGCTCAGGAGGGCGTATACGATCGACGTGGACAATGACTTTCGTCAGACAGCACATCGTCGATGTATCTGAAAGTGAAATTTCAGCGCTTGGTATAATTTATGTCACAAGTCCCGATAAGCTGTTCACGAAATTCAGCCCCATGCGAAACAAAAACATGTCAGACAGAAGAAGGGCAAAGTTTGTTCCAATAGGAATGTTTAGAGTCTGCTGGGAAATCTTACCACTCAAAGATTTAACTAAGATATTATCGACAAGGAAATCATTATTTTTACAATTTCTTCATCGGTATGTTTCAGTTTAATAAGAAAACAGAGGCGTTCCTTCAGTTGGTATGAACTTTGGTAGTGCAAAAAGTCGAAAAGTCCAATGTTCTGTTAGAAGAATCATTGTTGAGGTGAGTTCGTCCTGATTGATCAAAAAGTCTTAGGA